AGCCTTCTTCCTTGTGTGCAGCCTGAGGAGGAGCTGTCAATGTTCCGGCAGGCGATCTTGACTGACGCACTTGCTCAATTTTGGCGGGGTTGGAGCTCCCTGGGCAAGCGCCTGCGGGGGACGTAAGAATACTAGGGAAGTACAAGTCCGCGCTCGCCAACAAAGTGCATGCTGAAGGTACAGCACATGTACGCCCTTGTGCTGCTATTTGCGGAACAACATTGAGCTCCTCCAATCTAGACGACTCGAGGTAAGAGGACATTTGCTACTACAGAAACAATCAGATCAGTTCACAACATACGAGTGTAAGTTACCAGGTAAGTACCTGTTTGAGGAAACCGAATTCATCGTCAAGGACGTACGTTGTGGTAATACCTCGCGTCTTTCTTCTCACAGGGGCCTTGTAATAGCGACAAGTTGCTAATGTACAATGGATTCTATGCTCACCAGAAACGTACCTATCAAGATGGGAAAACAGTGCAAAGACACGATGCGCTATGCGAGGCTAGATACTCTCGTGCCTACGAAACACAAAGTCCTTCCTATGCCTACCTTACCTTGGAAGTTGCAGACTACCCAAGTAGGTCTGCACTGGCCCCCTTTGCCCTTTGGCGCGGCAGATCGACTAGCTTGCCGTCTTCCGATATCCTTCACTGCCATGCAACTCGCTTGTGGCTTAGACCTCAGCCGGTCACTGTGTGAGGGGGGTCTTGAGACCCGGCCCTCTCAGCTCAACTGGGGGTTGACTTGGAAACTGGTACTGCTACTTCATTTGTCCGACGCAGGGGGCGAGATCGTGAGTTTGGCATCCAGCGATGCCGTGATGCGGAGAGAAGCAGGCGGCAGTCCCGAGTCAGAGTCGCAACGGCTCATGCAGGCATACCTAGGTCGACTTGTACTACCACTGGCACAGAGGACTGATCCTAAATAGGTACTATCCGTAGACCGGTCCTGCTTGCTGCATTCTTGACGTGGGAAACAACGCCGACGACCGGCTCATGACCGCGCAAGCAGGCTGACCGAGAATCGCAGATCCGTCGTCCACGGCAATTGGCTTGTCCCTGGCTGCTTGCCATTTCGGAGCTCGTTGCCGGCGCGGAGAAGTCTCGGGGTTGCAGTAAGAAGCTTGACCGAAAAGCTTACGAGTGCTCCGCCTGGGCTCCGTACTTTTGGATGTAAGAACTTGCTCGACTTCGAAAAGGAGCCATACAGTATCAGAAGAACTGGCGGGTGCGGCTGGATTCGGATCGCCATGGCATTTGCTGTTCCCCGTTGTTCTGTATCAAGATACTAACACGGGGAGGTTGGGAGGGTTGCAGAGATCAACATCTGGCGCCCGCCAGCTCAGAGACCCAAACAGCTTCGGCGAATAGGACTCAAAGCAGGTGGTGGCACGAGGCTTCTGGAACGACCCAAGCTAATCAATCAATGACGACTTTTAGTTGTTGCATAACAGGCTATAATAGTAAGCAAGCAGCACTCAATCCCATCGATACGGAGTAAGCGAAAGAGTATCATCCCATTCGTCACGTAGGTACGGTACTCGATGGTGAATCCGCATCTCAGTCGTCTCCTCCGGACCACGGTCTTCCAGTTGTTCCAGCCTTGTGGGTTTGTCCCGACCTCGTCGGCAATCTCGTTTCTACGGCACAAAGCTTGGCATAGGCAAGGTGATGTAATGCCGCCACGGCTCAAGATTGCTGGCAACGAGAACTCGCTGCAAGAGCACCGAAGAAGCCGAGGGAGCTGCGAGTAGAGGACGTAGGACGAGGTGACAACGTAAAGATGAAGAAGAACGGTGCAAGGATATTATTTTCGCTGCTGCCCGGATATTTGATCGCATCCGCCTTAGTCCGTCGCACAAGGAAATGGCACGACCCATTCATTAGGTCCGCTGTGCTGGTCGAGAGCCGAACAGATAGACGCTGTGGCCACGACGGGCAAACACCGAGTCTTCAACCATCCGGGACAGGCAAGACAGCCTGAGGTTATCAAATCCCGGGGACCCAACGCGTACAGTGCCAGCAGTGAAGCTCCCGCCATGTCAGAGACACGCGTACTCCGTACCGTACGCCATCTAGAGTGCTCGAGGTTAAATCAAGGTTATCTCGCACTCGCCCCCGCCAATCTCTGCCGGGCTCAACCTTTAAATTCTCACCCTTCTCCGTTTGCCGTGGTCGGCGGGCGTCGCAGACGAGATGAACAAACAAGAAGGCTCCATGGGCATGTCACCCCAAACTTCCGGAGGGCGGAAATGCAGCAGGAAAAAAGTTCTGTACAGTTGACGCGGTCCCCACAGACTCACCGAGTCTCGGCACCGAAGGCATGGAATGGATGGCACACCTCCCGGTGCAAAGTGCGAATAGCGTGTTGCTCACCCGCAGTGCCGTGGGCGGAGGGTACTCCGTAACAGCGAAGCAGCCTTCAGTTGCGGGGAATGGCGAGTGCTGGTACCAGCGGAAATCGTACTCCGTATGCCCGCAATAGCCGCAAGGTCGTATCATTTTCCGTTTCCCGTCCCCGGCAATTTGCCCAAAGCTGCAGAACGGCCATCGTGGGCGGGAATAAGGCGGATATTGGTGCGGATTCCACGACGATTGCGCGGATGGGATCCGTTGCTGCTGCTTCTTGCTGGTAATCTCTTGACTGTACATAGCAGTCTATGGAGGAGAGCCAAAGTGACTCAAGTATGAGGAGCAAATGATGTAGGTAGATTTGAGCAGTAAAGGTATAGTTTGCAAAGTCCAGGATCCAACCATAGGACAGATCGATTATGGAACGTATGGTAGAGCTCAATATTCAATGTACAATGGGCGACGCTGGCACGATAAACACATACGCCGCATACCAGCGAGACTTGCCCAAGACGACCAAGGTGCATAGTAGGTAGTATTAACGCCGACCACGGCCATACTGCGGCTGCGTGTCTCTGACACATTGACTGGGTGGCTCGGCCGCTCCGATCGATACTGGATAGTCGAGAATGTACGAAATATCTCACCAGGCCCTCCCTATGTTGTGAAGTCGAGCGCAGCCCGATCGATGACAACCGCCTGAAAGATGCAGCTGTACCTTGGATAGTTAGCTTGCAAAGACGGACCATTTCCCTCTGTGTGCCTTTTTGGCACCCCAAGTCGAGGAGGCCTAGGAGAGGCTATGACACTCGCAACACGTATGCAGATGCTAGCTGCAGAGTGATGTTCCATTCTTCGTCCAATCTGGATCCAAGATGCTGCCGCTACTGGCCCACGGAGTACTGCTACCTATCTCATCCCATGTCGAGCTAGCAATCCACCCGCACTGTTGCAGTCGACGGCATTCTAGATGCTGTTTCTTCCCCTTTGACAGCACCACCACTGCCATCCACTACCGAAACCTATTGTCTCGCCTTGCCAGCCAAGCTTTTCAGCCAAGACTTCCAGCTTCATTGAGTACTATTACTAGGAGCTTTTCGATTTCAATTGCCGTGTGGCAGTTGAGGCGCTGGAAGCTCCCAGGGATGCCATGTGGCAGTGGAGAGACTGGATGTGCCAAGGACTATAGTATTATATTATCCCACCTGCCGCCCAACCATGTTTATAAGCAGACAACAAGATAGTAGTCTGACACCACAACACACACACTATCATCATCATCAATTCACATTCGGAGTTTTGTACCATCTGCTCAGAGACAAGTGTTGCTTAAAATACCTACAAGCAATAGAGCCGGTCCTGGGCTCTTGGTTCTGCCCATTCGCTACTACTCGCCCTGCAGAACTGTAGACACTAATCCCGGCTTGCTCCCAGATGACGCGGGAGTAATTCTGGCGCCGCCTTTACGGCTGCTAGTCCTCGTTCAAGTGGATCAGCTCGTGTGCAATTGCGTTCCAAATTTTAGCCCCCCGACGCCATGAAGATGTGGGCTTGTTTTGGTGGATAGGCTTCCTCTTTCTTTGCACCTCTGCTCTACATGTACGGAGTAATAAACGCACGATCAACAAGTCATGATAGGTATCCAGAGTGTATGGAAACAAGGCCCAACATCTTCCCTCTCTCCTTAGAAGCTTGCTAATTTTGCTGATGGGGGTAAAGGACAATGAGCAATGTGTGTTTTCGTTCGTACCGGCTGCCCTCAACCAAGGTGCCGTGTCATATCCGATCGTTGATTGATGCTCGACTGCATACACGCACACACACGCAAGACACTTGCGTCTCCCTCGTATTCGAGTTTGCTTGAAGGGCCCGAATTTCCTCAGCGAATACTATTCTTCGCTCTACAAAACACTCCTCCTGCTCTCACCAAAGCAGACACCAGCCCTTGTGTTCTTGCCTTTGTGCACTGCACCGTGCGAAAGGCCAAAGGCGCACCCCCCAAGCGGCTGGACGGGCTGCGTAATGCTAGCCACAGGCCCGCTCCACCGCCGGCTGACTGATGCAGACCCAGTTCAGGTGGTGTCTTCAGCGGCGGCGGCCAGCCACTACGGCACAGTGCGAGGGGTGCTTCGTCCTCCCCCGGCCAGCCACAGCGCCCTCTCGCTTCAACCTCAGGCTGTTCAATGATGCTGCATGTTAGTACCTTAGTACTTGCGCCGGCAGTACTGGTACCGCCCTCTGCACACAGTGCCAATCCACCACCAGCAGTACGAAGTACCTGTTCAGCTTGTAAATGTCGGCCCCAGCCAGCCCAGTCCAACCACAGGTTTCTGGCTCAAGTTGCAGCGCCTGAACGGCCTCTCCCTTCTTTTTCTATCTCTTCCCTCGTCCTCGCGCCGTAATCTCGACGTCGCTCCCGCCAACCCTCGCCAGCCCGCTCCGGACCAGGGAGAGACTGCGCTGCCCGTCTGATGGCCTAGGTTGGCAGACACCGGGGCAATTGGCACGTACGCTGCCACCGACTTTGCATCCCCGGGGTCCTGTCCTTGTCTCTCCAAAAGCCTCTCTCTGCCTCCCACACGATACGACGCATCGAGCCAGAGCCAGAGCGGGAGCGAGAGCGAGAGCCTCCAGAAGCCCCGCCCGGAGCACGACGAGTATGTGAAAAGAAAGACGAGCCGCTGGGCCGGAAAACCTCGACCTCGTTGCGCTGTATCTCTGTGCTGTCCTAACCTGTCAAAACGCTTTGCCGCAGTCCATACGAGCCCGCCCTACGAAAAAGTCCCAGCTCTGCGACTCAGCCCTGCGATTCGGCCCCTCCCCCTGCCAAACCGCCAGCGAAAATGTCCGACGACGAGGCCGTCACCGTCGGATCGCAGCCCGCCGGCGACTGGTCCATCCACGATGCTGCGTCGCCGGCCGAGAGCGTCAAGTCGGACGCCGAAACCGACGACAAGGCGGGCGACGCCGAATCGGCGCCGTCGCAACCCATCCAGAAACGACGGCGAGTCACCCGCGCCTGCGACGAGTGCCGCCGCAAGAAGATCAAGTGTGACGGCAAGCAGCCCTGCACGCACTGCTCCGTGTACAGCTATGGTGCGTATCAAAATGGCGAAACTCTTGGCCAACTTGTTCCCATTCCCGTACCCGTACCACCGTCGTTGCTCGTTTTCGAGTTGATCCTCCGTCTCTTTGTCCTCCCTCTCACCTCCTCTTGCCTCTTGCCATCCCACCTCACATCCCACCACTAACCCGAGACACGTCTTGCTGACCCGGTTCTTCTCTCCTTTCCTTCGTATGAACAGAATGCACATATGATAAGCCGTCAAACAGGAGGAGGAACCCCGCCCCGCAGTACATCGAGGCACTAGAAAGCCGCCTCCAGCGCGCCGAGTCGCTGCTGCGGAAGTTCGTCCCCGATATTGACCTGGCCGACCCCAGCCTTGACCCTGCCATCCAGCAAGAGTTTCACAATCGAGAACGAGCGCGTGCTGAGGCTGCCAAGCTGCGAGCCAGCCATGCTCCCGAGCCCGACCCCAACGACACCCAGCTCACGTCCATGATCGACTCCATCGGCCAACTGGATCTCGACGACAAAGGCGGCTGGGACTTTTACGGCATCTCGTCCGGCGCCGTTTTCCTACGGCGTATGAAGGAAAACTTCCGTGGCTTGTTAGGCCCCGTCGGCAAGGGACCCTTTCTTCCCCGTCCGGCTGATCGAACGGCGGGTCTCTTAAACCTCGACACGACGCCCTCCATCGGCAACTCACCATTCTCTGCTTCCAACTACCCCGAGCTGCCTCCCAAGGACGTTGCTCGGAAGCTCTGCTACTATTCCCTGAGTTGTGCCACGTGCCTTGTCCGCATCGTTCACGTCCCCTCCTTTTACGAAAAATTCGATTACATCTACGAGCGGCAACACGAGCTCATGAGCCAGGATGACAGCCAGTTTCTCGCCCTCTTCTACGCCGTCTTGGCATTGGGCTGCATGTACAGCAATCTAGACGACTCCGGCTCCGGCGGCTTGACTTACCGTAATGCCATTGATGAAGGGTAAGTCGCTCTGATCACATCCGAGCCCATTCCTATCCCTTGTCGACTGACCCATCTTTGCAGAGTCAAGTACTACAAGATTTCAAGATCTCTAATGCGTGATGTGACCGAATGCCGGAGCCTTGTCTCCATCCAGACGCTCGTCTTCATCATTCTTTTCCTGCAGTCCACTGCCAATCTCAACACCTGCTATTCGTTTGTAGGAATTGCTCTCCGGTCAGCCCTGCGAATAGGCCTTCACCGCCACTTGCAGCACGAGCGGATAGGAAACATTGAGCAGCAAGTCCGGCGTCGGGTCTTCTACGTGATACGGCAAATGGACATTTACGTATCAGCCATGCTTGGCTTTCCCCTGCTGCTAAACAGCGAAGATATTGACCAGCAGTACCCTCTCGAGGTCGACGACGAGTTCATACGACCTGAAGGCATTATTCAGCCGGCCCCTGGAACGGCTTCGTTCTTCCAGGCTTTCAACGCCCACACTCGGCTGATGGAGATTTTGGGCAAAATCACAAAGTACATTTACCCGACAAAAGGCGTTGGGCAAACAGTTTTGAGGGGGAACAAGCCTTCGTCGACATATCTCATCAGCTACAGCAAGATCAAGGAGATTGAAACAGACCTGCACAACTGGTTTGAAAGACTTCCCGAGGCATGGCGCCCGAGCCCTGACGGCCCAATTGAAGTGGTCCGGTAAGTTGCTTAGTTGGCATATATCTCTCTCCCCTGATGCCACTTCGAGCAAATGGGCTAATTTGAATGGGACAGAGTGCGACATTTGCTGCGTTTCGCGTACGCACACGTGCAACTTGTCTTATACCGGCCCTTTCTGCACTATGTCTCTCCTCGCCTCAGCCAGAATAGCAGGATTGATGAGCTTTCTTACGCCTGCGCGGCGGCGGCCATCAGCGTGTCCCGCAACATTGTCCACATTGGCCTTGAGATCCGGAAGCAGCGCGTCCTCAGCGGGCCGTACTGGTTCATGCTCTACACCGAGTTCTTCTCCGTGCTCTCGCTGGTGTTTTATGCCATTGAGAACCCGGAGAAGCCTGGGTCAGCAGAGGTGCTTGCTGATGCGCGCGCTGGTAGACAGATGATTGCCGATCTGGCGGAGAAGAGCCTTTCTGCTGAGAGGGTCACCAATACTCTCAAGGTAGGGACTTGCCGATCTTCACTAACCCTCGTTTCATTCTCTAATTGACGTGAAATTCTTTGTAGGTTTTATTTGATCAACTGCCAGAGCAATTTGATCAACCTCAGGCTCGGCCTTCGGCTACGACAAAGAAGCGGACGGCACCTGGAGTCAAGGTGCCAAGCAACAACCCTCACATCCCCGTAGGCATGTCCCTTCGTCGACCAGATGAGTCGATGCGCAGGAGCGGCGGCATGTCGTTATACGGAAGCTCGCTATCAAGGGGCTCCATGGGCTCCATGGACAGTAGCCTGGCGCAATCACTAGACCCCAACTTCCCCGAGCCTTCCTTCACCAGCAGCTTGAATGACATGATGCCGATGGACTTGTCATCACGGGCTACGCCCGACTCGACGAGCACGGCCGAGAGCGCGCACCGACACCCGTACCAGCAACATCCCCTCGGCGGGCACCTCGCACTCAACAACCCGGTGCACAAGCTCGACGCGTTGATGTTCCCCTCGGATGATCCGTTCGCGTACCCCAACCAGCCGATGATGGAACTGGGATTCTCGGGCAAGACCGACGTCCCTGCCGTGTCGATGCCCCAGCCAGCCCAGGAATCGGGATTCTTCTTCCCCGCGTCGCTGGATGACCTGGGAGATCAATTCATGGGGCAACCTCCGCCGTATATGATGCCTCAGCAGCAGCAGCAGCAGCCGCCGCCGCCGCCGCACAACCCAATGGCGATGGGCATGGCGGCGAACCTGTACGACCCCAACGCCATGATGGGGATACACCAGCAATCGCAGCCGCAGCAGCCGCAGCCGGCGCCGCAACGACGACCGGGCGGGCTTTCTCTTCGACGCGCAATACGAGGCGAGAGGCACCAGGAGCGGCAGATAGAGCAGATGTTTACTGATCACGGCATGCAGCCTGACTGGGGGAGTTTCTTTGGTTCTGGCAGGGGCGGATTTCAGGGAATGTGAACGACTTGCCACATGATACCCATTTTCCTTTTCCTTTTCTTCCTGGTGTCTTTTGCCGATATGAGAGACGGGAAAGCCTTGCGGTTCCATGGGAGGGGAAGGGCGTTATCTTGTCTTTTCTGTTTGACTTTGCCTCTTGCCTGTTTCTTCCAGGCCTTGTTGGATCACGTATTTCTTGGACAGCGCGGACGAAGGAGAAGGCTATACGGCGCGATTGCATGTCACAAGTGTCCTCGGAGTGGCGCTCATATCTCGAGCATTCTGGATTGGTGTGTAGATGCTTGGGCCGTTTCTATTCGTCATCCGCTTGCATTCCCTTTCCTTTTTCACTTATCCCTTTTCTCCATTCATCGAGGGCAGCGGGCAAACAGACAAGAGAACAAAGCATGTTTCTATCACAATGGGTGCGAAGTAGATAGAGGGACTTTTAGTCGATTTATGTACATGATGATATGTCTGAAGTTCTGAAGCTCCAAAAACCATATCATGTATCTCTCCTATGTGATTACGTATGCTCTTAACGCAGAAAGGCAGTTATGGATCGGTGAGCGGCTGATGCAACGACCGACAATTTTCTCTGTCGGTTTAGATCTCCTCGCGGCGAATTCGGCCGGTTCGGCACCGAAGACAGTGCGGCATACTGGCAGCGAGGAGGTGTTGAGCTTTTTTTTTTTCCTCTTGGGACTTTTGGTCGGTGAACGATTTGGGGGATATTCCCCTACCTAGGTAGGACCTTTCATCCAGATTTGGATTTCCCGCTTTTTTTTCTTTAGGCTTCGGCAGCTAAGGAAAGGGTTTGCTCTCGGACGCTGTTTGAATAATGATTGGACTTCGTATGATACCGGGCTCATCTTTGCTTTTGTGTACATTCATTGGAAATGCATTTAGTTGAAGGTAAGGGATCTTGAGAGAACTTGCTGTCGTGGGGATTGATGACTGTTGTATTTGATTGTGAACATTGGTGGTGTGGCCAAAAGTACCTAGGCATGAGTCGATAGGTAAGGTATCTTGAGATTGAAGGCTCCGTGGATGTATACTCCAAATTACAGCGATACATACCTACCTACCTTAGTAGTAGTAAACCATCAGGAGCCGACGGGGTGGCACGATACAGGCGCATGTGGAATGTATTTGCTACAAGCAATAGAGCATGGCAACCATAGGTACCTTAGGTATGTAGGCTTGGGCAGCTCACATACAACACCCATCTCCTTTTTTCACGAGGATTCATGTCAACTGAGATCAAGGGGAGAATAGCGCTATGCCAGAAAGAGCCATGACGGGTATCAAGCTCCTTAGTTTCCTGGGGTAGAGATTAGATAAGGTGCCTATACTAGACGGCATGGCAGCGATCTACGTTGGTTGGTGGCGGTAGACTAGGGGGATTCAGGCACTGTCGCAAGGCACGACTCGCTGCAACATCCCTCCCGTGACGGCGCTGCCCTTTCATCATTTCTCCCCTCATCCTCATCGACTCCATTGCCCGGCCTCGTCATACCCATCAATAGTCGAGCCGTTTCGAACCAGTCGTTGCTTCATCTCAGACAGAACGTCTCATAGGCTCCCGCAATCATCACTGCCGTGATCGACTTGTTTCCGCTGCGCCATGGAGGACATCGACTTCAGCTTCATCCTCGACGATGAGTTTGACGCAGTGTAAGCGCGCCTCAACCCCCGCCATTTCAACCTACAGCCTAGGTACATTGCTTACAAGCAATGTGCAATGCCAAACAGGGCCATATCCAAGAGGGAAGACTACGAGGTTTGGAAGACGCGAAAGTATCCAGGTGAGTGAGGAGGAGAGACCAAATGCGAGCCGTCTCATATGAGTACCTAAAGGAGTTGAGTCGACTGACTGGCCGTGTGTGACTCTTCGGTTTCCTCAGCCAAGGAGCATGCGCGCAAGGTGGCCCAGAAGCTCGGCGTGCCGGATGGCCTCATCTACCTGCCGGGCCAGACGTCGCAGAACTACGAGGATTCGGACCAGCCGCCGCCCTTGAGACAGCGCAGATAGTACGTCTTCCGGTTGGCATCTACCTGCCTCGTACCTCATCCAGTAACACACGTCTTCGCAAGCCTTCGCTTGTCGCTGACCAGAGCCCGATGCCCACAGCTTCTTCTATCTCACGGGCGCCAACTTCCACGACTGCTTCGTCACGTATGAGATCCGCACAGACGTCCTCATCCTCTGGATCCCTTACGTCGAGCCGCGCCAGGTGCTGTGGTTCGGCTCGACGCCCGACACCGCCAAGGCCAAGCAGATGTACGACGTCGACGAGGTGCGGTACTCGAGCCAGCTGCCCAAGTTCCTCGAGTCGCGCCTCACGTCCACCAACACGCTGTACGTGCTGCACGAGGACCAGGCGCCCGCGGGAGCCCGGCAGCAGACGCGGGCCAAGATCAACCACTGGATGCTGCAGCCCGCCATGGACCGCGCTCGCTGCATCAAGGACGAGTACGAGATCGCCATGATCCGCCAGGCCAACGACGTCTCCAGCGCCGCGCACCGCAGGGTCGCCGAGATGCTCCTCCGCCTCTCCAACGAGCGCGAGATCGAGGCCGTCTTTCAGGCCGTGTGCTGCGCGCGCGGCGCCCGGTCCCAGGCGTACCCCGTCATCGCGGGCGCCGGCGCCAACGCCTCGACGCTGCACTACGAGGACAACGACCAGCCCCTGGACGGCAAGGAGCTCGTCGTCGTCGACGCGGGCTGCGAGTGGCGCTGCTACGCCAGCGACGTCACCCGCACGCTGCCCATCAAGGGCCGCTTCTCGACCAAGGCGGCGGCCGTGTACAACCTCGTCCAGACGATGCAGGAGGAGTGCATCCGCGCCATCAGACCCGGCGTCCACTTCTACCGGCTGCACCTGCACGCCGCCGCCGTCGGCACCGTCGGCCTGCTCAAGCTGGGCATCCTCAAGGGCGACGTCGCCGAGGTGTCCAGGGCCGGCACCATCAGCGCCTTCTTCCCGCACGGGCTGGGCCACCACGTCGGCCTCGAGGTGCATGACGTCGCGGGCCGCCTGCCGCTGATGACGCTCCTGAACCTGGGCCTGGACGGCGGGAAGCGCGAGATGATTACGGCCGAAGCCCTGGCCTGGATGAGTGCGGAGCTGGGCGACGAGGAGCCAGTGGGCTCGCGGGCCAAGGGGACGAGGGAAAGGGCGCTCCTTGAGCCCAACATGATTGTCACCGTCGAGCCGGGCATGTACGTTTTCTCTTCTTCTTCTTCTTCTTCTTCTTCTTCTTCTTCAAGCTGCCTTGTTTCTTGTTCAGCACTTCGTCACCGTTGGGTGTGTAGAGTTACTAACGAGACAAACAGCTATTTCTGCCGCGAGTACATTGAGGGCTACTTCCTCAACAACCCGACGCACGCCAAGTTCATCAACAAGGAAGTCCTCGAAGGATACTACAGCGTCGGGGGCGTCCGCATCGAGGACGACATCCTCGTTACCGAGGACGGGTACGAGAACCTGACGTCTGCGCCCAAGGGCCAGGAGATGCTTGACGTTATCAACGGCCAAGCGGGTCGCAAGTGAAGGTGTCTTTCATCCCTTTTTTCTTGTTTTTCTTTACCCCTTAATGATGAAATCTTATGATTTGGATTGAGAGGATCATATGGGTAAAGAATGGTCTACCGTATGGGATGGAGGTGGGTTATCGTACAAAGCATAATGTTTTTCTCTTGGATTGGTGATTTTTTTCGTCCTTCTTCTTTTTCTTTTTCTTCTTCTTCTTCATGGCACTTTCAATTGTTTAATGAATTTGATGTCGACGTAGCCGGCGATGCAATACATCTATACACAGCATAGCAGACTGCCATAGTTTCGAAATTTTGCCTCATTTCTCGTCTTTTCCCATCGATTCATGTACGCATGCTATATATATCAGAGGTATATAACTGTAAATAACCGCAAAGCCCACCCCACCCCAAAAAAGGGAATAAATGCGACGTGCTTTATACAAAGGGCTCCCCTTCGCCTTTTATCTTTGTTCCAACTCCCCCTTCTCCCATCGTGACCGCTGTCAATCCCCCGTCTCAGCACCACCATCTTGCGTCTGGACAAGAAATCATCAAAATTTTAGAGGTACTTCTTTGGCGAATTCGCCTTGCGCCGCTTGTAGAGGACGTACGCCGCCACCAAGACCACCTGCGTCCCGACAATGACGGCAATGAGCCGGCCGTGACCGGGCACGCTCTCGGTGACCCTCTGGGTGAGCGACATGTGGTGCGTGCGCAGGGCGCCGTACACGGCCCTCTCGTTGGCGGCGAGCTTCTGGTGCAGCTCCGAGTTCATGTTGCGCACCTCGTTCTCGAGGGCGACGATGCGCTGCTGGAAGGCGGCCAGCTGGTCGAGCAGCGCCAGCCTCGAGTGCAGCGCCGCGAACTGCTCCTGGACCTCGGCGTGGCGCTGCTCGTCCATCTGGTGGTGGCGCGAGACGGAGCGGTAGACGGACGCCAGCTGGTGGTTGGTGCCCTGCAGGCGGTTGTGCAGGTCCTGGAATTGCGCCTTGGACGTCTGGAACACGTCGGCGTCCTGGTCGGCGATTTCCTCCCACGAGTCGTCGGACCGCTTGTTGGTGCTGCCGCCGGGCTGTTGCTGCTGGCGCGAGGGCTGCCGCTCGGTGTAGGCAAACTTGCTGCCGCCGTCGTTGCCATCTGGGTTCTCGTTGTTGTTGTTGTTGTTATTGTTCGTGCCGGCCTTGACGTCGTGGCTGGACGTGTCCGACATGACCACCATCTTGAAAATCTCAAACGAATCCGGGCTGTCGGGCGTCGAGGCGCTGATGCCCACGTGGTAGCCCGTCGGCAGGCTGACGCGGCTGGTCTCGAAGCACGTCTTGCCGTCGATCTGGACGCGGAAGCTGTCGGCCGTCTGGCGCATCTTGACCTGCGACGGCCGGCCTAGGTTGCGGTAGCTGTACTGGCAGTGGCCAAAGGCCAGCTTGTCGACGTTGTGGTGCTGCGAGTAGTCCGTCGACCCGTCGTTGAGGAAGCCGCGCAGCATGCCGCCCTGGCCGCCGTGCGAGTCGATGACCAGCACCAGCCCCTCGAAGCGGCCCGCGTTGTAGACGCTCTTGGTGCCTAGGTTCTTGCCGTCGCGCGCCAGCCAGATGTTGAGGTTGCCGCCCGCCCTGTCGGGCCCGCTGGCGCGGAAGTCGACGTCGACGATCCAGTTGGCGTGCCGCAGCGGCTCCTCGCTCCAGATGGCGCCTCGCGCATTGCCCGGCGCAACGGGCGTCAGGATGACCTTGCTGGACAGGATCTCGGGCAGGCTGGGCTGGCCGGAGACGACGAAGCCGGGGATGTGGCCTGGATTGTCCGCAGGGCTTATTCTGCAAGGCCGGGGAGGACGCAGAGGACCGCAAGTATTAGCTATCCGCTGCCAGCGTTTGCGATTTTTTGCTTCTTCTCGGAGCCATTGAGCTGCGCGACCTGCGCAGACCACAGAGACAAAGATACTCACCGCCCCGCATATCCAAAACTGAGCTCGCTGATGAGGAACTGAGCTTCGGCGAGAGTGGCGCCCAGCAGGGCTGCCAGCGCCGGGGAGAATCGCATCGTGAGGATCGACGAGGGGGAAGCTTCTCAGACCAGGTTGTCGATGCAAGGAGGAGGTCCCGGTTTCTGCTTCCAAAGGTAGTAGTAGGCCAATGCAAGCTGAGTCTGTATATATATATGTAACAGAAAAAAAAAAAGAGGAGAGAAAGGAAAACAGAAACGCAACGAAACAAGGGAACAAGAGGAAGAAGGAATCGCTGCCCGTCTCAAGCAGTTGAGAGAGGGTTGAGAAGACGGAAGAATAAATGGCAGAGGACACTTTGCACTAGAGGCGCCGAGGCTCGCACTTCCAATATGGGGATCTGGAGCAAGGACGGAGTAGGTACGTGCGTTTTTTGCGAACAGCGCCGCCAAGCCGGACAGCGTCGCCGAACGAAGAGAAGAACAGAATGGCAAACAGAGGCTAAATGAAGCAAGAAAGGGCGCTCAATTGATAGAAAGAGGCTGTGAATAGGCTGTTTGTCAATGCGAAATGACGACGATGCTAATGTCATTACCTACCTGGTAGGTATCTGGCATCAAGATACTTACCTGAGGTATTGATTCTGGGTACGGTGTACAAGTACCGCAGGGCCTCACCATTGACTTACACCGCATCCCGGCCTGTGGCTAAGCGTGGCGGGGATGGGGCCTCTGCAAAGGCAGCGCTAGACCGGATGGAGAAGCAAAAACAACAGAAACCCTCCTAAAAGGCAAGGTACTGACAAAGTACCGCAAGTACCGGGTAAAGCTTGCGGCCAAGCCAATTTCAACCTGTGATTTGTTCTCTACCTTACCTTTGGACCAAGGTAAAAACCAACCACCACCACGTCGAGCTGCCGTAAGGTATCGCGGGACTCGGTCCTTTCCCTCGAATTGCTGCGCGACGCCATGCGGTAGCCATTCCGTATCCCTGCAGACACAATGGCAGAGTCCTACCCAACCCTGACGCAGTGCGCGCTGGTGGCCGCCGCGTTCAAGGTCCTCCTGTTCCCGGCCTAGTAAGTTGAACTTGAATGCTCCCCGCGATAACCGAGCCACGTATGACCAGATGATTGACACACCCGGCCGCTGCAGCAAGTCGACCGACTTCGAAGTCCACCGCAACTGGCTGGCCATCACCAACAGTCTCCCCTTGTCCCAGTGGTACTACGAGAAGACGTCGGAATGGACGCTCGACTACCCGCCCTTCTTCGCCTACTTCGAGTGGCTGCTCGCCCACGTCGCGCGCCTGGTAGACCCGGCCATGGTGCGCGTGTACAATCTGGGCCACGATAGCTGGGAGACGGTCTACTTCCAGAGGTTCTCCGTCATTGTCACCGAGCTGCTCCTGGTCTATGCCCTGCAGATGTTCGTCGACTCGTCGCCCCTGCAGTCCAAGCGGGCGGCCCAGGTCGCCGCGCTGTCCGTCCTCCTGTCGCCCGGGCTGCTCATCATCGACCACATCCACTTCCAGTACAACGGCTTCATGTACGGCATCCTCGTGGCGTCGCTGGTCCTGGCCCGCAGCAAGTCCACGCTGCTGCAGAGCGGCCTTGTCTTCGGCGCGCTGCTGTGCTTCAAGCACATTTACCTCTACCTGGCGCCGGCCTACTTCGTCTTCCTCCTGAGGGCGTACTGCCTGTCGGCGCGGTCGGCATTCCGCCCCAAGGTTCTCAACTGCGTCAAGCTCGGACTCGGGCTCGGTGGCATCTTTGCGGCTGCCTTGGGGCCCTTTGCGCTGATGGGGCAGATCCCCCAGCTGCTCAGCCGGCTGTTTCCCTTTTCCCGCGGGCTGTGCCATGCGTACTGGGCTCCGAATGTTTGGGCGCTCTACTCGTTGGCGGATCGCGTCTTGATTCACCGTGAGTTTGCGCCAATGTCGCTGTCAACTTACACACCAAAGAGTTCAAATTAGGCTGACATCTCCGTAGTTGCACCAAAACTGGGTCTGCCTCTCAAGGCCGAGGCGCTCAACAGCGTCACTCGTGGCTTGGTTGGCGACACGGCCTTTGCGGTGCTGCCCGAGGTTACGCCCCGAGTATGCTTCGTCCTGACGCTCCTGTTCCAAATTCTGCCTCTGATCAAGCTTTTCCGGCGGCCGACTTGGGAAAACTTCATAGGCGCCGTGACGCTGTGCGGGTATGCGTCGTTCCTCTTTGGCTGGCACGTGCACGAAAAGGCCATCCTGCTGGTCATCATCCCCTTCAGCCTCATCGCCTTGCGGGATCGACGGCATCTCAGCGCATTCCGCCCCCTCATCGTCGCGGGCCACGTGTCGCTGTTCCCGCTGATCTTCACTCCCGCCGAGTTTCCCATCAAGACCATCTACACCATCTTCTGGCTGGTCCTGTTCCTCATATCGCTTGACCGCATGGCGCCTGCGTCCAACCAGCCACGCGTCTTCCTCCTGGATCGGTTCAGCACGCTCTACATCGCAGTGAGCATCCCTCTCATTGCATACACGTCCCTGTTTCATCAGGTCATCTTTGGGAAGCGTCTCGAGTTTCTGCCGCTCATGTTTACCAGCTCCTACACTGCGATAGGCGTGGTAGGCAGCTGGGTGGGATACATGGTTGTGTATTATACGTGCTAGGACTGGCGGCGTCCGAGGATACGAACAAGCAGAGAGGAGAGCATGCGGGAGCGGAAGAGAGACAACGGGAACCCAAGTAGAATCGCAAACGGGAAAAATGATACCCTGGTTAAAAGAAAGACAGAACTCAGCAAAGGCCAATTCAGGTCCATCTCTCTGATTCCCTCGTCGCCCGAGCCCCGAGCAAAGGCAATAATTCCGCGCCGCCTGAAGTTCGGCATCGAGGAGCGGCTTAGTCATATTGTAGGGTCGGATAGCGGGGCGCTCCACGTGAGGCGAGGCTGACGATTCCCGTTCTGTGCTGAGCGAGTGGAGCCATGGTTGATACCGGGGTGTGGCGGCATCGACAGGGGGAGAGCGGAGTGGTGACCGTGGAGAGAAGAAAAGACACGGTTCGAAGGGGAAGGGCGGGGAAGGGGGGGGAGATGCCGCATTGAGCAAGGACGGCTTCAACGCAGGTTTGTCTGCAATGGGCCTGCCCGGGAAACGAGCTGCCAATTGGCACGGGGAGACGTATATACTCTCTTATGGCCTCTATTCTTTTGCCTCTTCCATCGGGGGATGCAAATGGCCGGAGTGCGGAATGACGTCAGGGCTAGTGCGGATGGTTGCCGGATCTGGAAATCAGGGACATGTTGAGCGTGCGAACGACGATGAGCAAAGGGCACTTGTAGTACTACTGTACTACTGTAGATGAGGTAAAGGCACATACATGGGAGAAGATGGAAGTCTAAGCGCTCTTCTAAAATTATATATGAGATTGTGTGAGGGCTTGGGTGAAGTCGCACCTTGAATATATGGTATATGGTGGTATACTGCTAGAACATCCTATGAACCATCTAGATGAAGTTGATATAGAAAATCTTTTGGTATCGAGAGCAAGATTCGCAATTTCCTTCGCGTATGATAAAGCTCCTCTTTTATGTCTCTGTGATTATTGCTCCTCTCAAGTGCGGAGGGGACAAAGAAAGCTGCTCTCAGCTACGCGATCTACGCCGCTGAACGTACACAAGCATAGATCAACGGAAAATTGGAGGATGCGCGCCTTTTAGATCATGCCGAAATCGGCGGTGTCCAGGGATCAAAATGAGCCCAAAAAGCCCTGTGTTGTGGTGGTGCGGAGGATGGTTGGGGCGTGGAAGAGAGAGGGCAAGACGGGTAGGTAAAATGGGAATGGCTGCTTTTTTCTCCGGCGCATTTCATTTCCTTCCTTGGTCTTGTCTTAATCCACGTCTCAGTCTCTACCACTGTATTTAGAAGAGGATTTTGGGGGTGAAAGGCCAGGTTTGCTTTGATGGCTTGGGGATGGGGAGGACGAAAGGAGAGGAAAAGGGCCGGTAGATGAAAGAGAGCGTGATGGAGATGGACGGGAGAGGAGCTGGACCGGGGGCTGCGTGCGTGTGTCTCGGGTGTGGCAGGGAACAAAGGGATTGCTGGGCGCGGGGGTACGTGGAGGGTACATCCAACGACAGTGGACATTTGCTTTGTAGGGGGGCGCTTTATGAAGGTAAGCGGGGGGAAGAGAACCGGCGCGTAGGTGCATACGGGTAGAGGCGGGCGTGTTGATTCGTTCTTTTGGACGAAGTTTGGTTCCTTAGCAAGACGATCTGATTCATAGCTTTGGTAGGTATTCATCGTGGATTGAGCAGTTCTGGAAGCGGACGGCGGCTATCTAATGGTGATGGAGGGCCCGATATCACGGGAGACCAACGTCAGAAACACCACCATATCTGCTCGCAGCTTCAGGTCTAATCCAGGCTGAAGTGTCCTAGCAGGCACTCTGAATTGCTCATGTGCTCATCTATGGATGTGATCTTCAACTCTGCAGGCTTTGAATCTACTACTCACTGATCAATTGTCGGATCATCAGGACCCAGATCCCATTCGCATCCTTCCAGCCAGTGCCGAACCCTGTTTGATGCATAAAGGTCCCCCGGTCCCCGGCGCATCCTCCTGTACCCGCCAGGTACCTCCCATCGCGCCCTGCTCCGTCGGCGCTTCCACCGTAGGTACCAGCCGAGTACCGCAACGTCCCTCAGGCGCCCCCAAGCAGCCCGTACTTGCGTGGTACCTCGCCCGCTAGAAAGCTGGCGCTGTTGCCGGTCTCCACGGCGGGACGCCGTTCCCCCCCAAAGCGCATCTGCTAAGTACCGCTAAGTTCCGTGGCAGCTCTCCTTCTCCCGCGCAATTCTTTTTTTTTTTTTTTCCCTCCCCTTCCACGCCTCCGTTGCACGTTCGCTCACCCTCAGTCGCGTCTCGTCGAGCCTTGACGAAGCTTCAACCACCGCCTCCGGACCCAGGAAATGCCCGCCAGGCGTCCCTGCGAGCTGCCCGGACCGCGTCTGCTGTAAATCCCTGAAAGCCTGCAGCCCGCGCAGCCTCGTGTAAGTGCGGCAATCAGCATCGCACTTCAGTCGAGACCGCCAGCCGAAATCTGCCAGCATCCACCACCACCCACCTCCTCACCAGCCACCGCGAGACTTTCTTTTTTTTCCTCTAGTGCTCTTCCTCTTCCAAACCTTTCAGCCCTTTCAGCCTCGCCCGCGTCTGAGACAGCCGTACCGCAGCGCTGGCCGGACGCAGACGCAAGATCCTCGAACCGCGATCCTCGAAATTTCGATTTTTCCGTCCTCTCGTCTTCGGCCTCTCTTCGCTTCGACCGCGCCTCGTCAGTTGCGTCGACGCCGGATGCCTGTGCTGCCGAAGCCCTCGATTAGATAAACGCGCCGAGCTCCCGAATTGCTCTCTCCCCTCCTAATCTCGCGTCGGTGGTGGATTCTCGATATCGTTTCTCTTCGTCTTCTTTCTTTTCTTTTTCAGACCAACGCACTCTCTTGCCGCACTCGGGCCTGCTTCCTATAGCCACCTCAGAAGCGCAACGCAACGCGCAGATATGGTATGCTGTTACCGCTTGGCCGCCCAAGTTGTGGCCCAAGTTGACTTACACGCTCCGCTACAAACAGGTGCTTTTCAAGAGAAAACCGGTGCAGTTTCTCCCCCCGGCGGAGGTGGAGGATAGTGACACCGAGGTATGTTGAGCGATTTCTGAATCACTGATGGTCGGGGCCGCGTTCGTTGCCTGCAGAAAAGACAAGAGGCAGAGACGGAGATATAGGGCTAACTTACTGGGATGATCAATTTTAGGTCTGGCACATCCCTCAGACTGGCGAAATATTTGCTTCGTACGAAGACTACCTGAACCGGTAAGCTGCTTCGTCTACCGTTTTTCTTTCTATACACCTTGCCTACTGTGAGCCACATCGCTGACCGTCTTCTTCATGTGTAGCATGGATTTCTATAAGCAGGTACCACACTCTAACCCTCATCCGTCCCCTCTCCCTTCCATCATTCCCACGCCGCACGGAAAGCTGGCTATGCAACGAAGCAGGCACTTACTGAACTCGGCATTCTCTATAGCGTCGGTTTAATGATGAAATTACAGGCCACTCGGGTCTCACCTTCTTTGAGGCTTACACTAGCGAGGTTGGTTCTGCTTTGCTCCGGGCATCCGTTCGAACATGTCTGGCTCACATTCGTTGCTCACAGCGTGCTGGTGGTCAAGAGGTAGAGGCCGCCTTTCCGGAGGCGCTCAAGGGTCCCATTCTGCGCAAAGTCCAGTTCCAAACGATTTCCCGTCTCGATAACCTCGTCGACATGGTCTTCGACGAGTTCAAGGCCGATTTCTATCCAGGGGAGGATGTCTTTGTCACGCTGGACGAGTTCAACAACGAGCGACGACCCTGTCTTGTGCGGGAAAAGACGACCTTTGGCGCAAGGATCTTGCCGGACGGCTCGAGTTCTCTTCCGACCAGCCGGTATCTGGTCGTACTCGGTGGCGGCTCCGGGCAGGAGCAAATCGTCACAACCGACAACCTGAGCCGTGAGCGCGGCGCCTTCACCAAGTCTATGCTTCGGTCTTTTCTGAAGAGGACAATCCACCGAGAGGCCTGGAACGGGGCCCCCTGGCTCGTCAAGGATGGCTACGCCAAGCAGTATCATATTGACACCAGGATTCCTCCGCACCTTCGGCACGACACCAAGATTCAGGAGCGCAAGCAGCTTTTGGCCCAGAAGCGTGAGCGCAGCTTGATACAAGACGCCAACGGGCACAGCCCAGCCGCGCAGACGGGCCCGGTACGACTGCCCGAACTCAAACCCGCTCCCAAGAGCCACAAGGGGAAGCAAACCCCCGGCAGCGCGGTCAAGGGCCTCAAGTGGCCCACAGACATGACATCCGACGGCGTCAATGGTGTTGGGTATCCGAGATACGATGATGAGCGAGCTGCTTTACCACGTGAGCCGACTCCCCCGCCTCCGCCGCCGCCGCCCAAGTATCCCATCGAAGACCTGCAACTGGAGCCGCGGGAAGGCAACGTGCGACCCCAGCTCAGGTTCATGTGCAGAGACCCTCCCGTTCATCAAGAAATCGAGCACGATTTGCACCGCCAGATCGACATGGAGACCGTGGGGCCTCTTTTGGAGACGTGGGACACGCTCAATGTTTACTGCGAGATCTTCAAACTCGACTCCTTCACCTTCGACGACTACGTTCAAGCCATGTCGGTGGCTTCGAGCAGCACCCCGGTTCAGCTCTTCGACGAAATCCACTGCTCCGTGTTGAAGATTCTGGTCGACTCTGAAGCCGACGGAGGCAAGGTGCGAATCACGCTGCCAGAGGTAGAAGAAGACGACAGCGACAAGGATGACGATGACGACGAAGAGAATGGGGAGGACAGTCGACGGCAGAGCATCGAGCTCGACGACATCCCGGTCGCGAGGGCTACACGCAGCAGTTTGGCGAAGCTTGAAGCGGAGAGGCTGGCAGCTGAAGCGGCAGCAGCCGAGGAGGAGAGCCTCCGTGCCGAGCTGGAAACTAAGAATCGCGCTGAGGAACTCATGAAGGAGTTCGACTGGATCGAGCACCTACGGCAGCGGAACTTTCAAAAGGGAGGCTGGCAGAGGATTCTGGTTGGCCTACTTCATCAGCTTTCCAAGAAGGAGCGCCTCCAGCACGCATGCGAGGAGCTGCTGCAGCAGCTGGTGCCTGCAGAGATGGTGCCCTCCCCGGAGAATGTGCAGCAACAATACGACAAGCTGGACATCAACTACCGCGTCAAGGCGCTGCAGATCATCTGCATGCTGACGATGGAGACTAAGGCCGTCAGAGGCTACATGGAAGACTGCAGTGAGACCATGACCAAGTATCGCAAAGACAAGATTGAGTGGCAGCGACAGCGGAAGCAGGCGTAAGTTGACCTTTTTTTTCTCTCTCTCTTCTCCTTTTCTTTTTCTTCACCCATCCACCATTAAGGAAGAACGTGTCACTGACTCTCTTCATCTTGTTAGCATCGAGGAGCTCCGGCAACTGAATGAACAACGCAAGCTGTTGATGCCGGAAAACGAACCGGCGGAGGAGGCCAACGGTACGCCTGTCAAGGAGGAAATAGACGTCAAGATGGTCGACGCCGACGAATCAATCGTGAGCAAAGAGGAAGACATCGAGGACAGCCAGGACGAGACTTCTAGAAAAAAGCGCCGGAGCCGTGTCTTGACGGACAAGAAGAAGAAGCACGAGGACGAGGAGAAGCTCAAAAAGGCCAAAGAGAAGGCGCTCGAAAAGACCAAGCCGCAACAGTCGAAACAGTACATCAAGCTCCTCAAGGACATCCAAAAGAAGGAAGAAGTGATCAAGAAGTGCGAGGAAGAGGTGGCCATCATCGACAACGATCTCCGGGAGGCTGACTGTCCAAGAACCCGCGTCCTCGGAAAGGACAGGTTTTGGAACCGTTACTATTGGTTTGAGCGGAACGGCATGCCATATGCCGGATTGCCCGACAGTTCCACGGCGCATGCGGCATATGCCAACGGCTGCATCTGGGTCCAAGGCCCCGACGACCTGGAGCGAGAAGGATACATTGAGCTGCCGACGGAGCTCCAGAACGAGTACAAGGCCAAGTTTAACATGACTGTCCCGGAGCGCAAGGCGATGGAAGAGGGCGAAACCAGCGTCTTCACTGCCAGGCAATGGGGCTACATCTCCGAGCCCGAAGACCTGGACCGACTCATTCGATGGCTGGATCCCCGAGGGTTCAACGAGCTCAAGCTACGAAAGGAGCTGGTCACCTACCGTGACCGGATAGCCAAGCACATGGAGAATAGGAAGAAGTATCTCGCAAGCAACGACCCTGAGGGTGACGAAGGCGACAAGAAGGAGGAGCCGAAACGGGTCAGCTCGAGGATTCGAGAGAAGACACCCGATCCTCCGAGTTACCGCTGCCTGCAGTGGCAAAACACAATGGCCCTGGAGGACCTGGGACACCTGCATGGCGATCCGCCGCCGCCGCCACGACCGAAGAAGCAGACAAAGAAGCGTGAGGCTGTGGTGGAGGCGGCACCGAGACCTGCGACGAAGACACGACGCAAGTGAGGGAAGAAGATGGAGACTTGGCCTTGTTTTTGTCACTTCCTTTGGCCTTTTCTGGGGCCGAGGATCCATAGCACCTCTCGTCTGCGCCAGCTTCCGAAGGGCTTGAAGAGGTTAGGATCATGCCGGGGCTTGTGAGCAGCAAGTCGCAAGCAGCTTTTCCCCGTTCCATTGTGGCGTGTGGCGATCGAGCATAACGTATCGTAACGACTGATGAGACGGGCCCGTGTTAGAATTAGACTGGAGTTGGGAAGTCAACGCATGGAAGGCGGTGCTCTTGTTTCCTGCGTTTTGTGTATTACCCCCCCCTTTCTTTCTTTTTTTTTTCGCCTTTGCAGGCTGCAACATTGGCTGCAAGAGGGAAAGTGATGGCCTATATATAAGTGGCTGCAGAGGCTGGTGTTGGTTACTCGGAAACGGTCGATTGTCTTTTGCAAGGGGGAGCCGCATGGCATGGACGGAGCTCTTTATTTGTTTTCTTCTCAGCGGTCAGGGCTGCGATTTTGTTTTCCTCTCTTTGTGAGACGTCCTGCTGGATGTGTTTGGTGAAGCATAAGCAAGGTATGAAAATTGTGTCCGCGTGCCAGCTTTGGGACTTGGTTGCCTGTGAGTAAGGCAGGGAGATACAAAGAGATTCATTAAGAGCAATCACCTTGTCAAATGTAAACGGCGTCGAATTGGGTGGTTTTCTTTTTTCAGTCTGAACTACTCCGTAGATCTGCCTTGTTTTGATCTCGATATCAAAGGCACGTTGAGTTATAGAAGAAAAAAACCATCAGGGGTATAGACCTATCTGGCATCTCCAACGAAATATTTTACAAAAAAAAGGTCAAAAAGAAACAAAGAAAGAGAAGGAGGTAATGTCAAAAAAAAATCACATCTTTGCCGGCGCCGCCTCGTCCGCGTTCCCTTCCAGCCTCTTAATGGTCTCGGTGCTCCTCTTGTAGCCGTCCTCGCTCTGGAGCAGGTCAATGTACTCGCGCACGCGCGGGAACTCGGCGGCCCAGGAGCCGCCGCGCCAGGCGCCCATTCCGTCGAGGCTGCCGCGGGCCTCGAAGAGCGGGAAGCTGAGGACGATGTCGGCGGGCGTCAGGTGGTCGCAGCAGAGGTAGCGGCCGCCCGAGGTGCGCAGCTGCTGGTCGAGGAAGGCGAAGTGGCGATGGACGTTGGGGAAGATGTAGCTGGAGAGGATGCGGTTGGCGACGGCGGAGGTGATGGGGCGGATGAAGATGGGGACCGGCGGCTGCTTGAGTTCTGTTGCCCCCAAAGTTAAGAAGAGCAGTTAGTATATATATATATATATATTATTCTGAAGAGTTGATCAAAACGCACTTCCAATCACCAGGCTGAGGAGCAGGTACGGCATCAGGCTGCCCTCGCTGTAGTGCAAAAAGTACTGGTTGCGCAGCCAGGCCTCGGTCTCGCCGCCAAACTTGCCCTCCATGCCGGGCTTCCACTTGTGCGGCACCAGGCGGCGGCCCTCGGGGAAGTGCTCGCAGAGGTACTGCGCCATGTGGCCGCTCTCGGCGAGGACGATGGGCTCCTGCTGCTGGGCATCGCCGCTCGGGGGAGGAGGAGGCTTGATGACGACGACGGGGGATTTGCCGAGGGGGTGGACCTTTTCGAGCTCCGGGGGCGCGAGGCCCTGCTCGGTGCGGTGGTAGAGCTTGATGTCGAACTTGACCTTGAGCTCCTCGAGGAGCCAGAGGAGGCTCTGGGAGCGGGAGCGGTTGAGCCTATGGGGAGGTTGAAGATGCCCGTTGAGTCAGTATCACGACCCTTGGAGTATTGAAGCGGCGGGTTGGGGATGCTGTAGCAATTGTACATATGACGTACCAGTGCAGAGTCACTTGCGGTTGCTGCTCGTCGGAAGCCATGGTGCTGAATCTACGACTGCGTCCTGTTTGTGTGGCTGGATGGAGCTGTAGCTGTAGCTGCAGCACTCGCTGAAGCGGTGCGGTCACTCTTCTTATATGCAGAGGGCGGCGTATCGACGTCATACCCACGAAACAGTAGAGGAACCAGCACTTGGGGCGTAAAGTCGGCCAAAGAGAAACGTCATGAGGGCAATGTGCCTCGGCAGATGTGCAATTGGGAATTTCCGAATCAAGAGCTGGGTCACTCAATTAAGCCAAAGGCGAGCAAAGTATGTAGGTAAGACGGAGTAAAGTGGTTATTGATAGTAGTAGTACTCGTATGCAGTAGTAGTATGGAGTATCGAGCAGAATCAGGACCAAGTCCCCGGGGCTTTTTGGTCTAGAAGCGCGTCTTAGTGCCGGCCCAGCTTGTCATTTTCGGCAAAAGGCGACGTCCTGGTTTCTCCGTGCCTCGGGACGGACGGACTCGGACGTTCCATGCGGATTGTCAGCATTCACGGAATTGGTGTTTTATTGCTGTTGGGACTGCACAATAGGTTTATTTTGGGCATCACGGATATACAGAGTTCCGGAGCTGATATGGACAAGTAACTCGTTTCAACTTGTCGTCCCTTTGGTACCCTAAGGTACCTAAGTAAGGTAGCTTTCACGTCAAGCTGCATGAGGCAACCTAAAGCCTTCGTGTAAGGTACTTGAACTTGTACCTCGACGCCCCGATAGAGCATGCGCCACATTGACAGTCAGAGTGCCATCGTATGATTGGCTGCTCACCGGTCAAGCCACACCCATCGAAAATGTTGCGCCACACCACTCAAACTCGACCTTTCAGCAACATTTCTTCATTATTGCCCTCAGACCTGTCCATAACAACCTCCTCGGCCAGTGCCCCCTCTGAGCCATTGAGCTCTGCGCCATGCACGCATCAAGAAGCATCTGCTCAAGATGTGCCTCGCAGATCCGCTCAGTCCAGACCCGAGCCCTCGGAGGTGCGGCGCTGTTTGCGTCTCTGAGTGATGCAAATGCACCCTCGGATGCATCAAACATAACCCCGGACACCCACCAGAGGACCGCAGAAACAGCTAAACGGCAGCCTCACAGCAATGCTTGGGCATCTCCTCCCAAAAGGAATACTCGGAGGAACCTCTACCGGCCGTCCGGCTTTTCAAAGAACAAGCCGCTCCGGCCCTCGGAAGACTCCGCCATCGCCCTCTTCAAGGATGTCGTCAGCCCGCAAGCCAAGACAGCCGCGTCACAGTCGTCCTCTCCCCTCGGAGAGCTGGAGATTGCGGCCAAGATCAAGGAGCTTTCTGTCAAGCCGGTGGATGCCCTTGAGAAGCTGCACGTCTTTCGGCAGACCATCTGGCCGCACCTCGAGCAGTTCCACGGCCGGATGCCCAAGCATCTGTCCATGATCTCGACCCAATTCCTCGAGAGGATCTGCGACGAGATTGCCGAGCGTGGACTTACTGGCCACGGCATCGAACTGTCTCGGCTTTACAGCGGCCTGGGAAGACCTGATCTCGGCTTCAGGAACCAGCTCGTCCTCAACGTCTGCCACGCTCTCGTTTTCGAGCAGCGAGACTCGGCGGGTCGCGCTGCCCTGATGGACGAGCTCGCCGGCTTGTGGAAACACATCTCACAGCTTCACCGCCCGAGTCAACGGCGTGAGCCACTCAAGTTTTCCTTTCCCTCGGCGCGAGATGTACGGCAAGATATTGCAGAGAGTAACGCGACCAATCTTCACCTTGACCCCACGACCAGGGCTCTTGCTGCTCTTTTCCTGCAATTCGAACCGGGCGATGCTCGCGATATCATACCGGGACTCTTAACCACCATTGCTGTTCTCTCAGATTCCCGATTCATCAGAACTAACACGTATGCCACCATGGCACCGTTGTTGAACCTGGTGGCCGTGGCCCTCGACAGCAACAGAGGCGCTGCAAGCGAGGCCTATGTCTCCGGCATGTTTGACAACCATGCTCAACTTCCCTCGGCAGAGAAGATGTCCGACATCAAATCTTATGTGGTGCAGCAATGGCCACAAGCCCTTGAAATGCTACACAAGGAAAACCCACCCTGGCGCTCAGGCTCCTCGTCCAGTCTCACAACTCTGCACAGCCAGCTTCGTTCGGCATACATGGCCCGCGATCTCGCCTCCATGTCCTCCATTTGGCAAGAGTTCAAAAGGCTGCTGGAGACGAAGCCGGAACTTGCAAATCAGCTGCGCAGGAGTGCCGAGTTCTTGGACTTTTGGGTCTTCGTCTGGTGCGCGTGCCGCCGCCACAGGCATCTGCAGGAGACGTTCGACTTCATGCAGCAGCTCCAGATACACCCTACTCTCAAGACGTACACGGGCATGATGCACGGGTGGAAGCTATGCAAGGATACGGATCGGATCGAAGCCCTCTGGCAGAAGTTGGCGGGCGCTGGCCAGAAACTCGACTCCCACATCTGGACGGAACGCATCTCCAGCCTGATCGAGGCGGGCAAGCCCCAAGCCGGCATCGAGGCGCTCGCAGAGATGCTCGCCCTGTGGAAGCAGGCAGTGCAGAAGAACGTCCCCCACACGGCCGTGCAGCCCACCATTGAGTCGGTCAACGCCGCCTTCAAGGGCCTCATCCAAGTCGACCGCAAGGCTGCCTTTGACGTGCTCAAGTGGGCGGGCCGCGAGAACATTGAGCCCAACGTGCGGACGTACAATGTACTGATTCGCCAGGCCTTCCGGGACGACTCCCCCGACGATGTGCAGACGCTGCTCAAGGTCATGTCCGAGCACGGCATCGACCCGGACCCGGCCACGTTCACCATCATCCTGGAAGAGGTCATTGGCAGGATGGGCGAGGCCTCGGCAGCCGACCAGGTCGAGGCCGTCCACTCCGTCTTCCAGGACATCCAGCGCGCCGGGCTGCGGCCCAACCAGGAGACGTACGGCAAGATGCTCTATGCCGTGTCGTCCCTGGCCAACGGCAGCGACGAGGCCGTCGCGGCCGTGCTCACGCACATGCGCGACAACACCGACTTCAAGGTGACGCCTCACATGGTCACCATCCTCATCGAGCGAGCCCTGGGCCGCGATCCGCCCGACATGGGCGCCATTGACACCCTGCTTGCCGGGCACGGCTTCTCCCGCGTCAGCGACGGAGACCAGACTCTCTGGGAGCGCGTCATGAGCGCCAACGCCATCACGGGCAACACGGACCGCGCAATGGACATCTTCCACGACCTGCAAAAGGCCGGGCGGCCCGTGACGTCGCTGCCGTGCCTGACGGACCTGCTGTGGGCGCTGCTGGGAGCCGACAAGCGCGACGAGGCGAGGCACGTCGTCGACGTGGTGCTGGACTACAAGACGGGCGAAGGAGACTGGGACGGAGACTTCAAGGATGAGCGGTACTGGAGGCACCACTTCTGGTTCCTGGCCAATGAGAGGGGACTGCTCGAGGGGAGGGAGTTGCCGGACGTGTTGCGTGCAAGTTTGCGAGGCTAAGCGGCGTTTTTTTTCCTTGGATATACAATGGATTTCGTAGATTGGGAGTTGCCTAGGTAGGTATTCTTCGGGGTTGTTCCATGGCCTCCAAGGGATGTAGTTTATCAGATCATGTTACAAAGGGAAATGTCAATGAGAAGCAATGGTCACACGCATAAATATCTCACTCAACACTGCTCTGGTGGCGGTTATCCCCCCTTTTGTTCTTTCTCTTATTTCTTCTTGATGCCAGCATCATGCCTCCAACTACGTCGTTTCCATGGCATCTCCTCCCGCTCCAGCATCTTTTCCTCCTCCTCCTCCTCCCAGCATGGCCGCCACCTTCTCCAGCCCTTCCACCTCGCCCTTACTCAGTCCCGGCCCCTCGCCCTGCCACTCGCCGTCGCGGACGGCGCCCTCCGGCCCAAGCTCCAGCCCCACCACCGTCTCGAGGTACTTTCTCGTCGACGACTCAATGTACTCTGCGCGTTCTCGTCTCCATCTCGCTGCTGCTGGCGGCGATGATGATGACTGTGAAGAAGATGCCGCATCATCGCCTGCTGTTGGTAGGGAAAGCTCGGGCAGCAGCTGCCTCAGCGATCCCGACAGCGCGCGCAACGCCTGCAGCTGCGAAAGCGTAAACTCGGCCGTCGTGGTGATGGGCTGCTTGCCGCCGCTCTCTTCAAGTCCGCCTCTATCGCGCAAGAAGGTGAATGGACTGGGCGTTGCTGCTGCTGATGTCGTCGTCGGCGCCGCGCCGTTTGAGGCTGTGGAGGGTGTTGTTTCGTGCTCGACGACGACTTCCGTCTTGGTGGCTTTGTCGGACCGGGGGGCGATGCCGAGGAGGGATCGCAGGGATCGGAGGAGGGCGTCGTTGCGGGCCTTTTCGGCCTCGAGGACGGCGTTGAGTTTCTGGCTCGCTTGGAGCCGTCTGCGGAGCGCGGTGATGGATTCGGGAGACGGCCTGTCGGCCTGCTGCGGCGCGGAGGCGTCGCCGCTGTCGGGAAATTCGAGGCCGCGGTAGTGCGAGAGGCGCATGTACGGCTGGTCCTGCGGCCGGACGGTGATGATGTTCTGCATGACGTAGAGCTCAAAGATGTCAAAGTTTTTGTCGATGGAGGCGTTGAGCAGCGTCTCGAGCTGGTGGGTGCCGTTTTCGATTTCGAGCTTGGCGGCCTCTTCGGGGGTTTGGGACTGGGGCTGGTCTGACTGCTGTTTGGGTCTCTTGAAGCCGAGTTTGTGAGGGGGGATGGAGAGGAGGAGGCGTTCGACGGAGTCGAGGGCGCGGTCGGCGAGGACGTTGACGGTGTTTATGATGTCGTCGAGGAGGGACTGGCGAGATATGTCAGTTGCAAGCATTGATAGATGGGGTAGACACACAGAGAGAGAGAGATGCGTACGACGGGGGGATAGCTAAAATGCTCCGTCAAGAGCTCATAGTCGGAGTTGCTGGCGGCCATGGCGAGTTTCCGCGCGCCTGGCGATGAGGAGCTGGTGGGTGTGGACGGAAGCCTCCTCGTGACGAGGCTGATGAAGTAGTTGGCGCTGGCTTATTTGGTGGGCAATTGCCGACAAGGCTGCGACGCGACGAAGGCGCGTTTAACCAAGTTTTTTTTTTTCTTGCCTGCCAGAGGTTCGTTGCGGCTGATGTGAGTTGTAAGTACGTTGTGTCGCAAATGGTAGATCTAGTAGCGAACTGACATAGAATAGGAACCGAGGAAATGCAGTGAATATGATTCTTCAACAAGCCAATCAACCAATCGTTCGTATCAGTCGTGGTATAATAAGGATGCACAAACAAACCATCAACGATCTTTCAAGATCGCGAGTGGGGCCAGTGACATGGTAACTTGAGCCTTGGAGCTCCAACCTCCGTCGTCAGCACAGTAAGGTACAGTACAAGTACGAGTACGTACCTTGACACCTCCATGGTACCCACTCCGGCTGCGCTTTCCTCAGCTCTTATCTATCAATCCCATCTCTCAAGGCGGTGGCCTCGCCGATCCTGTCCGGATTCATCCCAAAGCTACTCACCGAGACACTACCATTGTGTACATTATTGCGACTGATACTTCAGATTCTGCACCCCCCTCTTCCTCTCTTATTCTTGTAGTATCACCGAATCTTCTACGCCCTCTGCCTTCAATACTTGTCCGCCGCCCGTCATGTCCAAATACGCCGAAATGGCCAAGGGCAAATTGTCCGCGGGCCGCGAAAAGGCCTCGGACTTCAAGGGCAAAGCAAAGGGCAAGGTGGTACGTCCATCTCGCATCGCATCCCATCGCATATTGACATTTTCGCCAACGCATTGAGCCCTACAAGTTGCAGCGACACAATGGCATGGCACCGGCTGATCCGTTCTATTAGACCAAGCACATCCCCGGACGAGGCAACAAAGACGACTCCAGCGATGGTCCGTCTCACGTCGCCGCCCCCTTGAGCTCCCTCCGTGATCCAAACTCGTTCGCTCCTCCGCCCAAGCGTACCGGCTCCGCCCTCGCGCCTCCGCCGCCTCCCTCCACAGCCAAGCGATCCGTCATCATGGCACCGTCAAAGTATCAAGACCCCCACGGGCCAAAGGTCGAGCCGCCGCCGAAATTCGCCGACGAGAGGCAGCTGCAGGCGTACGAATCTGGGGGGGAAGCCCAGCCAGCATCGTCGTCGTCGCCCAGGCCCTACCGGGTGGACACGACGGGCTTGTCCACGCAGCATCTCCCGCCTCCGCCGGTACGCAGGGACAGAGACGCCGCGGGCGGCCGGAGTCCGCCCTCGTACGATTCCGTGGTCGGCGCAAGTTCCGGCGACGCCAAGGCACCGAGCCTTCCCCCGAGACTGCCTCCGCGATCTGGTTCCGGAACGCCGGATCGGACGGCCAGCCCGCTATCGACGCTCGGCGTGAGCTCCAGCAACCTAAACCAGGGCGCCGTCAAGAGGCTCGGCGCTGCCGGCATCTCCGTGCCCGCCTTTGGCATTGGGTCGTCGTCTTCGTCCCCCAGCCATGCCGATGCCGATGATGCGGCGGCGGGTCCGCCGAAGCCGCCTCGGCCAAACGCTACGCCGCCATCCCAGCTCAACGAGCTGCAGAATCGCTTCGCCAGGCTGGGAACGTCAACCACTGTCCCCAGCGAGCCTGCTGCTTCCCCTACCACAGCCCCTGCTGCCACCTGGGCGCAGAAGCAAGCTGCCATCAAGGCAGCAGCAGCTACGCCACCGTCGCCATCTGGGTCGGTTCTGGGCCTGGCAGGGAAGAAGAAGCCTCCGCCTCCTCCGCCAAAGAAGAAGCCCAGTCTGTCGGCCAGTCCTGCTGCTGCTGCCCAGGGCCAAGGTCCCGCGCCACCACCTATCCCCCTGTCGACTCGTCCGTCATTTTGACCAGTAATTTTTCCTATTTGTCCTCGAACAGAGGGAAACGCGGGCTTGTACTTGTAGGAAGTGCAGCGAGGAGCATGTCATTTCATTCTTCATTTGCATTCTCAGTTCGCATATTGCACGACAAAAGCTGTATGTTTCTCGTTCTGGAGTTGGGAATAAAGGCAGGGATTGCATGTTCATTGTCACATTGCTTGTAACGCAACGGCGTCATGGCGTTTCACTTTGGATTAGAAATCAAAACATGGAAAACGGCGAATCTTGTTGGATCAATATTGTTTTGGTTTTTTTCCCTTCGTGTTTTAGATCATCTCCCGCTTGCGTCTCCCAGCTATGAGGCTTTAAAGGTATATATGTCATGCGCCGAGTGGAACGCAAAAGATTGGACTCGTAACTTTGTCTCGTACTTCCTTCTCTCACCCGCACTCGTCCCCTCGCGATTTTTATTTAGAAAAAGAAGATTGGGGCATTTAGACCTTCATCTCAGTAAGACCGTGCTTCCAGACAATGACGTAGGGGGTGACACCATCCTCGCGGTAGTTGAGGAGGACGATCCTGGAGCGGGAACACATCAGTCTATGAACACACAACGAACATCCACATAGAAGCGTTCGCGAATTTGTCTTTTCAACTTACATTCCATCGGGGTTCATGGACTCGCCAGTGTAGAACTCAAAGTCCTTGAAGTTGGGCAGCAGCTTCTCCTTGACGTAGGTCTGGGCACCCTTCTCGAAGGCGGTGATGGTCTCGGCGTCGGCACCCTTCGCCTGGAGGGCGGCCTTGACAGCCTTCATGTAGCCTAGATAGAGAGAACGCAGATAGATGTCAGAAACATGCATGTCCTTCTATACGCGATTCTGGGTTTTCCCGCTTGAGGGGCGAGGCGAGACTACTAACCCTTGAGGTAGGCGAGGTAGCCCTTCTTGTCGAAGCTGGTGGACTGGAGACGGAAAGAGTGGACGATGTTGTTGACCTTGACCTCGGCATCCTCAACACCCTCGTCGGCCTCCTCGGCGGAAGCATTGGCACCGGTGTCTGTGAAGAAGAAAGAGCGCAAGTTAGATGATGGTGCTTTACGAAGACTTGTGGGGGGTTGAACGATGTCCCGCTTTCGCTTTCGCTGTCGGTTTCAAGCTGTTCTGAGCAAAATCTCTCTCTTGCTCTCACTGAAACCGTCTCTCACTCTCCTTTTTCTCTTCCGTATGCGCCCAACGCAGTAGACGACAGCGGGCCGCAGAAAAAGGAGAGGCGCCAGGATGAGAGACAGAGAGACGAAGCCCAAGCGAGAGGAAACGTTCTGTTTGTGGCTTGGGATATTGGAAGGGTGTTTTGTACGCACCGACGTGGACGGCGCCCTCGGTGATCATGGCGCAGTCGGCCTCGTAGACGATGCCGTCGACCTCCTTGAGGTCATACGAGTCCGAGATGATCTCGTCGTCGGTGATGATGTCCTGTCAACATTTGCGGGGTTAGACATGGCTCTTGAACTTTTTTTTTTTTCCTGTCCCTTCCAATGGCGGGGTAAAGAGAGAGCACACAATGGTAGAACAAGCAAAATAGGGAGACTGAGGACTGGAGATTGCAGGACGAACCTTGTAAATAATCATGGCTGCGGCTGTGAATCTACAACGAAAGAAGTATCGAGATTCGGTATAGGGAGAGGAGAAATGGAAGCGTAGAAAGATTGGACAGGGAGAGGGGGATTTGTATAGAGGAGAGGAAAAGAGAGGAAAGAAACGGTTGGCGATGGTGGGAGCGGATTAAAGTGGGCGGCAAGACACGGGATTGGCTGGCTGTTGACTTTTTTTTTTTTTTTTTTTTTTTTTTTTTTTTTTTTCCTTTTCTTTTCTTGGATCATGTCCTTGTTCTGCTTTTCTTCCTTCCTTCATTGGCTCTTCGCCCAAGTGGGGATTTTGAGCTTGTTTGTCCAAGCAGAGCAGCTGATTGCCACAACGCGTGCCCCGCAAGAGAGAGGAAGCATTCAACTTCATGCTTTTGTACTTTGGTGATGTCGCTGCTACTAATGTGTAAGGTGGGTTGAGTAATCTTGGTGTCAAGCTTCTATAGGACTGCTCATGTATAGAAGGCGGCAAGAGGACAGAGCAGTCAGAGAGCTCAGCCACAGAAGATTGACATTGACCCCGAGTGCTATACTGCAGTAGACAGGACCTCACGGCAAATACTTTCATGTATCAGAATCAGGTTGCAAACTTTCAATTCTCTCTACCTAACATTTTCCACCCATCCTGCCATACCTCGAGGCAATTAATGTAAGCAACAAGACTAAGCGGGTAACGAAAACAAAAAAGATTAAAACGGGCAAGCTGGAGCGCGCCGTTGCCATGAAACCACAAATCCCTCGAATATCCCCAGACCGAAAATGAGAACCGGAAATGAAAACCGAAAGAGGGCCGCAAGAAGCCAGGCCATATAACGCACTTCCGCATGCACAATCTTCATCAAAAACCCTCTCCAGTACACTCTCCCAAGAGTGATTCGCGCATGGACCGCCATGCCACGCGCTCACCAGGCTTTTGCTTCTTGCTTCTCTTGGCTTCCCGCCCGCCTCTCCTACCCTCTTCGACATCACCCACTCCAGCGTCATTCTCCTCTCCGTTGGCGTTTTTCGACTCCCTTTTCTTCTTTTTCCTCTCCTCGACACCTTCTTCCCCTCGCTCGGTATTGGTAGACTTCTTCTTCCTTTTCCTCACCCTCTGCCGTCTCTCCGGTGCCTCTCCGTCTGAGTCGATAACGATGACAACTCTGTCTGCCACAGCCGGCGCCACCTTCTTCTCTTCATCCGAGTCGCAGTCGCTGACGAAAAGACTTTCTTCTTCCACCACAGGCGGTTCGGTCACGGCATCTACAGCCGTCTGCTGGGTGCCTAACAGCTGGGCCTGCAGCGCTCTGATGATTTGGTCGTGTTGATCGATCCGATGCAGCATCTCCTCCCTTTGGATCAATTCTCCCGAATAAAGGATGGTCTTGAGAGAACGGAGATTGGCCTGAAGCCGATTTCGAACCTCCGGCTCCGAAATGTTTGCAATTCCGGCATCCAGATCACGCAAGACGTCAAGGGTGGATGGCGCGTTTCTCAAAGCTCGCGAGACAGGCTCGGGCTCAGCCTCAGGCTCAGGCTCGGCCTCGGGCTCGGGCTCTGGCTCAGACTCATCTTCCGGCTCGGGCTCAAGCTGTTCCGGCTCGGGCTCGGGCTCAGGATCCCTTTCTACCCATTCAAAGTCATGAAGATCGGCCTTGGCCTGCCCAAGCCAGTCGACGATTGTGTGCTTGCGCGATGCCTCCGCCCAGATACGCAGTGTCTGCTTTGCAAAGTACGGCAGCACCCTGACGTTCTTGTCGGTGAGTACTCGCATAATGTCCGTTTGGATGCTGCCGTTCCAGCCCTCATGCTTGAGTCGATTCACGAGAGGCCGCACCTGCACCATGACTTCGGCACGGGTGACTCGCTTGGTTGTCTCCCTCACCGGGGAAGATCTCGGCTGCACTGACACTGGTGTAGGCGGAGGGGGAGGCGGGCGCACGGGTACTCCTACAGGCGTCGCTGGCGTATGCGCAGGAAGAGGAGGACGCACAAACACTCCCGCGGCCGATGTTGGTGTAGGTGCCGGGGGAGGAGAGCGCATCCGTACTGCAGCAGGCGTGGCTGGTATAGGGGCAGCAGGAAGAGGACGAGCAGGTACTCCTGCAGGCGTCGCTGGCGTATGCGCAGGAAGAGGAGGAGGACGCACAAATACTCCCGCGGCCGATGTTGGTGTAGGTGCCGGAGGATGAGAGCGCATCCGTACTGCTGCAGGTGTCACGGCCGCAGGCGTCGCTGTTAATCGAAACGGCAGCGGCGTCACAAATAAGCTGGGTGACACATTCCGCACCCGAGTGGAAGATGATGCTGCAACCGAGTCTGGTGACATGATAAAAGCCGATCGTGCTTTAAACGGACGCTGCGCTGGGGTAGCAAATGGGAATGGAGTTGCGACTCGCTGGCTGGTTTGTGCAGCTGCTCGCGATGCATCTTCTTGTCTGGCTTGGATCCTTTGTTGAAGTAGGTTTTGGATAGGAGACTCCTCCGTGGCCGGAGCCTCTCTGCCTTGATGATTGACAGCAGCGTTGAGGTTTCTAGGCGTGCGGTTTGCTGGGGCTGACTGCCCAATCTCACGGTTTGGCTTTCGCTGATGCTCGGCATCCAGGGAGACGTTCCATGGTTGGTCCAAGGGGAGAACATCGTCGTCAGAGTGCTCGCTGAAGAAGTGTATGGCGGTGACAGCTTTTCGATTGCAGTCATACTTTCTCAGGAACTCGGCTTTCTGGTCGTCGAGTCCCACCTGGTCATATAGAATAACCTGCCGCATTGCGATGATGACCACCAGCATTGGCGCTGGAAGGCAATGCAGCAAGTTGCTGGCCTCGGTCAGAGCTTGAGCCCTGACCATGAGCCATGCCATTGTGAAGTAGCCATCCCAGTCGAGCCAACTGGTGGCATGAAGAGCTTTTGTGTCCCAGCATAGCTTTGTGCAGGCTTCGAGAGTTTCCGGATACAGGTCTGGGTTTGATCCAACAAAGCGAAATATGCCGCGGATGAGCGAGTCGTAGAAGTCTACCTCGATCTGAGGCGTTATCTCGCTGCTGCGAACATCGCGAAGACGCCTGCGAAGGACTCCGGCGATATACAGTTGAGCCTTTCTCGGCAGAGGCTTGACAATGGGGAGAAGCTCTTGAGACTGGGGGAGGCCCTGCATTGTAGGTCGAGAGAGTTGTTGAGCTTTCTGTAGAAAGCTGGAGTCAGTTATGCGAAGCTGTGATGACGTGCACGCGAACAGACTTGCCTTGTGGAGGGAGGAGGAGGAGGAGGAGGAGGAGGGAGAGAGAGCTCTCGGGCGACGCGCAAGAGATGGAGAAGGAGGAAAACTCTAGAGGAGAAAAGTTTCGAAAACGAAAGAATGAAATACTGCTGCCTCGAAGGCGGTGGCAGCGCCGGCAGCTGTGGAAGGTGTTTCGCGAGTGCCTGCCAGCTGTCGGGGAGATTCTGCCACCAGCGCGCACCACTGCACGCAGATTCTCTGTTTCAGCGACTGCATCACCCAGCATTAGGATCGCGATGTGCTTGTAGTTGCGGTGTGCTCCTGGTATCGCTGTCTGCTTCTATCTGTGCCATCTCTATAGAGGCATACGGAGTATAATTCCACCCTACGGATGTTTCGATCCTCGATAGCTTGGCCAAACTGGGCTGCTGGCGCAAACATTCTTTCCTTCAGTCTCTCCTTTGTGGTTTGTTGGGTCCGCCCAGTCTCCTTCCTCTCGGTGACCTTCAAGACAAGGCCATCCTGTGTTGTTGCTGATGTCGGTAGCAGAAGATGTGCACTCTGAGATATCAACCCCGTACCACCTTAGCTACGCATGTGAGTGCAGCAGCATCAGAGAAGCTCAGCTGGAACAGAGCAGAGCCAAGAATAGTCATGGAACCAGTTCAACAATGATCAACCATCTGCATCACACTCCTTTTATCTAGACATCCTTCAGACGAGCGTCTTGCTGATCTACCAGTGTAACAACACACCCTACCTACTTTCAAGTTATGTCTTGAGTGCATCTGTGCCCCTTCTCTGAGTAGTACCAATACACCAACAGATCCCAAGAGACGGCTTGCAGCACAGGTAGATCTACATCGCACACATTGAGTCCTGCGAGGACCAACCACGACAAGCCCAGGATGGCATCTCGAGCAATGACATAAGCAGCTCGCCCAACTACACCACAGGATACGGCATTATCACGATATCTTCCCAACCAGGTATGTACCACCAATGTAGTTCTCAGCTCGTGTTAAGTGGTCTGATCCAACACGCGACAAAACACGCCCAAACCAATTCTTGGCTCCAGGGGAAATTCTTCGCGCTAGACTGTTCGGGTTGGCTCCACGGGAATTATCCGACGCCCGAGCCTCCGCCCGCGATACTAAGTTGTATGTGATCCGCCCCTATTCCACTAACAATTTGCCACTCTTTGACCGGCTCTTTTATTTTTTCTTCTCCCCACCGCCCTCGAAGCTTATCTCACCTCTAACAGGTCGTTGAGCTTGCCAAGGTCAATCCTTTTGCTTGTGCCATCGTCATCTTACGCTCCTTTTCCCTTCTTCTAGTTCACGAGTCCTCCATAGTCGCGCCTTTAATAACGGGAGCCGCGTCCTCCGGCTCTTCTTTTCTTGCTCGAATCCGTCTTTAATCTCTTGCCTCTTCCATTTCACGCTTCTCGGATCTGCTGTCGTCGTCGTCGCCGTCGCCGTCGCTTGCAGTCCTCCCTGTTGCGATCAGCCGTCATCCCACTCTGAACAAATTCGCCCCCTGTCCGGTTTATCCAATTTATTAACACGCGCCATCCGAACAACGCCGAGATTAGTCTGCCGTTTGCTCCGACAGCTCCGCCTGCCGTCAACTCGATAATACATACATACATACATCCTACTTGCTTCTCTCAGCTGCCATCTTCCTCTCTTTCACCTGCATGGTCACAACAGCCGCCATCATCATCATCATCGGCCGCATCCATGGAAAACCTCTCCGCTGAGGCTCCCGCCATGGCGAACCACAGCCTCTACGACTCGTCGCTCCCGCCTCTGCCGACCTACACGCTCGAGCCCAAGCCCGACCTGCTGCCCTTCATCTCCGACCTCTGGCTGTCGCTGGTCCTGCCCGTCGTCGTCTACTGGGTCGCCTCGCTATTCTTCCACGCCATCGACACGCTCGACCTCCTCCCCCAGTACCGTCTTCATACGCCTGAAGAGATCACCAAGCGAAACCATGCCAGTCGATACGAGGTCGCACGCGATGTCATCATCCAGCAAATCATCCAGGTCATCACGGGGTATGCGCTTGCGGTAACCGAGCCGCAGGAGATGATTGGCAAGACTGACTACGACATCGCCGTCTGGGCCACCCGCATCCGCCTTGCCCAGCGCGCACTGCCTGGCCTGCTCGGCCTTGTCGGGCTCAACGCTACCGCCATCTCCAAGAGCATGTCGTCGTCTCATCCGCTGCTCGCCGGTGTCCTGGCCGGTGGCTACTATCCCGTCACTGCCACCGACTCGGCCGGCGCCGCCCCGACATTCACCGCGTGGGAAATGGCTCTTGCAAAGGCCATCTACTACGTCTTCATTCCCGCCGTGCAGTACTTTGTTGCCGTCTTCATCCTCGATACCTGGCAGTACTTTCTTCACCGACTGATGCATGTCAACCGCTGGTTGTACAGTAAGTGGCACTGGAATGAACTACCGTTTGCGAAATAAGCACGTCGCTGACCATGTTCTTCTTGCAGCAACTTTCCATTCCCGACACCACCGTCTCTATGTTCCCTACGCCTACGGTGCTCTTTACAACCACCCGCTGGAGGGCTTCCTCCTCGATACCCTAGGCGCCGGCATCGGATTCAAGGTCACGGGCATGACCCTGCTGCAGGGCACATGCTTCTTCGCCTTCTCGACCATCAAGACCATTGACGACCACTGCGGATATGCCTTCCCTTGGGATCCTTTGCAGCTCATCACAAGCAACAACGCTGAATACCACGACATTCACCACCAGAACTGGGGTATCAAGGCCAACTTCTCACAGCCCTTCTTCACCTTCTGGGATCAGCTCCTGGGAACCAAGTACAACGGAAACCGCTCCAACCGACTGCACCACAAGCAGCAAGCCGAAAAGGCCCAGTAAACGGGCTCGGCGCATTGTTTTTGGTTGTCCTTGGCCAACCTGCACAACTACTTCTGCAGACGCACGCTCTTCTCGACTCTTTCTCCCCGTCCCTTTCTCCCTCACCTCTCTCTCATATACTGTCCTCTTACTCACGCACATACGACACACAAAAACACCTTTCCTCAGACAGGGGTGATAATTACACTGTCCATCGAATATTCGATGGATAAACACACGACGAAACGCATATTGGATGACAGCAGCAAAACCGGCAACGTCAAATTGATACTCTAATGTCCTAATTCACTACATCTCACCTAATGGGCCTGCCGAGGGTAAAAGAAGGGAAAGGCTTTCCAAACTTGTACATAATGCTAATATTCTTCTGGGGGTGTTCTTTTAGTTCTCTGGTATGGGATGGGACGATACTTGGAGAGGAAGAGGTGGTTAATGCTTCTCCGTTTCACCGGGAATACAATATCTTTATGAGCGCAACATTCGGACCAAATTGTAAAATTATAATATGACCTACCTACAGGGAAGGGTTTGACGACCACCAGTTGGCCTTTTTTTTTTTTTTTTTTTTTCGTTACAGAAAGTACTCGCACGGCCGGCCTCGCCAATGGTAGACGAGAGTACGAGCAATTTCACAGGAGCGGCTGGGTCGTGATATCCTATATCTAGGCTGAAGTGCAAGGATTCGTCTGTAGTTTTCCTTTTTTATATCAGAGGGTGCGCCGGGTTTCTGCATAGGATACCACGATTATATGTCCATAAGCATTTCCTTGTATGTGTCGGAGTATTACCCAAATGTGGCCGTCTCGAGTTGCGAGGTTGACTTCATACGCAGCATTGGTGAGGGACTGATAAGCCCGCACAACCAACACCAACAATCCGCTGTCATAACCGACTTCAAGCGTCTGGAGAGAAAGGGAACAATCTCACAGTCAGACAATTACTCCGAACCTCGCTCAAATTGTTCCCTAGTTCTTGAAGTGATTCATCCGAAGAAGTCTTCGACTCAATCCGCCTCCGTCCATCCCCGCAAGCTCAGATCGTCTCCAGAGCGTCAGCCTCGATCTTGCGGGTGATGACCGGCCTATGTAGGACCATGGGGTCGTAACTCTGAGAATAGTAGCATGGACAGGGGCCCGGGCGGGCGACCTGTCCTCCTTCATACGGTGAGGCCGTGCGGGCGCAGAGGTTGTTGGTCAAGACCTGCGTCCATATTGGTGCCGTTGGATCTCCCGAGCGGTAACCTGCATTTCATCTTATCTTGGTGGTGGCACACTGCATTTGGAATCTGCAAAGCGGTCTGTCTCTCTTACGCTGTTTGAAGGTCTTCCTCCCATCCGTTCAGCTCTTCGGGCGTTATAGAGCTCGGGACAAAGAGTCTCGCCGCCTCGGTGCTTTGAGTCAGTTTTCCACTGGTGCGCATACTCAATTTGCTTCACTGAAACGTAAGCAGTACGATGATGCCGATGAGATCTGTATCTCAGCCAGGGACTCACGCTCTTCTCATGACAAGGCTTGCGTCGATGCTCCTCTGTCTCCCTTTGCAATTTTGGCAACAGAGCAGCCAATCATGCGTCATGGCTTGCGACACGTACATCCTGAGATGTTGGCCCCATTACATCGTGTTGGTACAACGGCCCGAGGTTGGAACCTAGACGCAAAGAGTGTTTGTGGACCATACGGTGGCCTGTGATCTTGCACTACTTCGAGCCCGAATCAAACGTCTTCCGGGTGACTTGTGATGGCAACTCAAGGCCTTTCGTGTAGGAACCCCATAACAGGTGACACTCTGCTTGGAACAACAATTAAGATCGTTTGAGCTAGATTCTGAAGCCCTCCTACGCCCCGTTTCTTATTTTCCGCCCTCCGGCAGGCTAGCCCATGAAGATCTAGAGCTCTCTGATGCGAGTAGCCGTTGGATCAAGTGGTAGTACCACCATGAGACTGGTACAGAGCAGGGTCATGTGTGCACCATCATAGGCGTAAACGGTTGCACCACATACGACTCAATACGACTGATCCAGGGACAAATTGTTCCTCCGCTCAGATATGGAGTATAGTCTACACATAAGCACGAAGCTGCGTCAAACCGGTTTCGCGCTGCGTCTTTGTCCTGCAGTCGGGGCTGCGGGTTGTTGAGCCACGTGGATAGCCTGGTCTCCAGTAGCTTTCTGTCTTCCACCCCGTCTGGCGATATTCTAGCCCAAGCGTATTGGCACGTTAGCCGTAGCACTCCTCTGTACTCTCGTGACTCCGCTTCTCAGTAGAATCAATGTCCACGGTGAAGAGACAGCCGAGCCCCTAAAGCATGGGGTACGAGCTTGCAACACCCGGCATGAGATGCGTAATGTAGCTTGTAGTAGTAGCAGTAGTAGTAGTAGTCAAAATTCCACGTGGGCGGGGTTTCAAGGAGCTCAATGCCCGATCCTCGATGTCTGCGAAGCGGAATCCGAGCTGGAAACAGGGGCGTCGGACCCAACGGAGAGGCGTACTGGATCTTCAGACTCGACTCGGTACGAGCAGAGGTAGCTAGTATCCAGGTCTGCCCTGTCTTTTGCATAAAGAGGCTGAGACAAGATAATACCAAGGCAGGGATAAGGCGAGACCGGCCAAGGCTCTTCACTCTGCGTGCCGCGACATGGACGGCCACGAATGGATTTCCCATGGGATGGGCATCATGTATACCTTGTGCTTGGCATCGTTGCTGAGGACGCACTGCATGGCCGCTCTGAATCGATGACGCTCCGCTGGATGTACCGATCTCGGGTCCTTCGTGTGCCCGTGACAATCCCCTCGCAGATGGACTCCGCATCAGTCAACTCAGGGGAGAGCTGGGAGCCCGGCATTTCGCATGTCGTACAAATACTTGTCCTGTGTAGATTGCAGTCTAAAAATCCAATGCAATCTGCCGGTGCCTCGGGCGGTCACCTCAGTGGGAATCTACGACCTAATCGATAGGCAAATCCCGACCAAAGCAGCAGGCGGTCGGGAACCAAGCGAGGGACACCAGAAGCATCAAAGCACCTCTGTATGTACTTGTACGAAGTTGTTGCATCACAGCGCCCTTCAAGACTACCGTAGCACAGCATGAGATCCTTGCTGCGCCGGCCCGGCTAGGCGCTTGGCGTTGCATCTAGCAAGGTCGAAACAGGTGACGCTCCCTTGCAGCCACTATTCAAACCTCAGCTGGACGCTGCCCTTTTCCCTCTCGGGGTCTCAGCCTGGAGTCGGATTCGAGGAGCGGAGTCAATGGAGGAACGGAGAGGGATAGTCTGCCAGCAAAGCGTCGAGCATCGTTTCCATGGACGGACGATGTGCAGGTGAGGGACGCTTCCATGCTCCAATCATGTTTGTATGTAGGCTTCCGCTTGTGCTAACGGGCATCGTGGCTCATAGCATCGACTTGCATCATGGGGGGCAACCGATGCCACGAGAGGCATCGCGCCTATGATTGGCGCCGCCGATTCTCCAGTGCGGCCCCGTTCAATCTCTCTGGTCCCTCTACCCACCCAGATGCCGTCCAATCATCCAATCAGCCTCTCTCCGTGCCTGCGTGGCCAAATCGTGCCCCTGCTCGGACCCTGGCCCCAAAAGCGTCTTCCTTGGGATTCGGATCAGGCGGCTGCTGCCCATCCCCGGCTGAGCTGAGCTGGATGAACTCAAACCTGAACCATAGTCTGGCATTGCCACGGCTTCCGGCCAGAGAAATCTCGGGGGCTGATGTTTCCAGGATTTGGGCCAGGTGTTTGAGGGCAGAGGCCGCTGGTGGTACCTTGTGCTTCCTACCTTCTTTTGCTTCTTGTTTTGTCTGATTGGCACAGCTCCGGGATTTCCGACTAAAGAAAGCTCTATCACACACATCCCAAGAGGAGAGCCGGCCTGTTGACTAGGTCCGTTACTCAGATGCGGAACTCCAGACAACTTCCCGGAGTCTGCATCACGCCAAAAACCAAACTATCGCTGGTTCGTACAACACTATCACTCGCACCATCTCCAAGTCCCAGCTCGCTAGTCAGCCTGCCTCTCCGGATTGCAGCTCTCTGTATAGGCGACGGACCCTGGCAGCCTCTGTCGTCACGCTGCTTGCTCGAGTGCCATTATTACCGAGCTCTGGGCTGCCAGAATCTGCCTTTCGTCACCATCACCCACAGCTCAACTGGGAAGCATCACGCCCTTTTGCTGGTTTCCCATCACTACGTGTGTGGCAGCGTCGCTCCTCTTGAATAAGCCCTGGATCTTGGCTACCGGTCTTCCGAAGCGGCAGCCCGATAACATTTCATCATCGCCACGTTGGAACATCTTTTGCCGAATTCAGCTTGTCCGATTTATTGCCCAGGATCCCTGCTGATCGCGGCTTTTCTTACTTTCTTTCCCAAAAATCTTCATCTTGCCTCCTACTTTTACGACCCCCCGTCGCTCCCCAGAATTGCGTTTAACGACGTTCTCTCTTGTCGTTGTAAGCGCCCGTCTCTCCCTTCTTGGTCCTGGCCCCCCTTACTCTTCCGTCCATCCAACGCCGCAATACCACCCAGACATCAGCCAACCGTCCAGGAACCGGTTCCCACTGCCACATCTACTACGACTTTGCCGGTGTTCGGCTGGATGGCGGCGCTTACAGCACATGGAGTTTGACCAAGCCCATTAACCAATCACTTCACGAAAGTTATTTGTTTCGGCGCTTCTTCAAACATGCCAGCCAGTCTGCCGTGTTTCACGCCTTGAATTTCTCCCTCAAATCTGATCCGACCTCATGTTCAAGGAGTACTGCATCGGAGTATACTCGCACGTTCGCATCTCGACTTGCTCTGCCAGCCAACATTAGCGCGAGACATTGCAAGATAGCCGCCGGATACGAGACCGAGCGTGTCCATCCTGAGCTGCTTCCAATCGGCTACTCAAAAGGGTCGTATACCCAAAGCATATACTAAAGTTGTTGTCTCTCGTGCCTTTCAGACACAATGGACCCGACAACAACCCTCGTTACATTTATGTTGTGAGTGTGGTCTGGACTCTTCTTTTCTCTTCCTTTCCTCTCCTCTGCCGCTCGCCCTTCGTTCTCTCTTCATCCTCCTCTGCCAATTCTTAAACAAGTCCTTTCTTTTTCTTTGAGCACTCCCCTCTTCTTCTCTACCTACCTCGCCTGTTTCCCACCACCCATTGTCTCTCGCTTCCTGGTTCAGCTGCGGTTCTAGACGCATTGCCAGTCATCAGTTCATTCTTGTCTTTGGCTCATTGTGTCCCGTGTCTCACTGGATTCCGCGCTGCGAATTCTCGACCGTTCACTCTGTTCGGTCTAGGCCCTGCTTTCTTAGAAGTGCGGTACGGGGACTCCCTTCATTCGCCTTTGTCTTCGGGTGAAGTGCTCATCAGCGTGGCCGTCAGCCCGCTCGAATTGCCCGCCCCCTTGCATTGCCCTGCTAGCTCACTGGTATGAGCCCATCGAAGTTTGTTTACCGCGCACCCTGCCGTCTTGCCCTACACATTGGACACACGGAGACTTCGCCTCATGAATTACCCCGTTGCCGTCCTAACAGTACACCTCAAGTCTGCACCCTGCTCTCATTGGCAGTCCTGGGCTTGCTTGGTGGGATCCGGCGGTCTACACAAGGTAGACGGGGTTTTCAACGACGTGAATCTTCACTCATGGCTTGTGCTAGCCTCTACCCCTTTCCCATACACGCACGCACTCATGCATCAGCATTTGCTCATACCCTCTGGACCGAAGATGAAAATCTTTGAATCAGCCCATCACTGGCCCGCTGAAACGGACTTAAGCTGACGCCTTAATCTCACAGTCAGACGGAGCCCTCTGTCCAATCCGTGCGCCTCATTGGCTCTTGGGACAACTTCACCATGTGCTATAGCATGGAGCGGGACAGTAGACGTGGCCAGGGCCAGTGGAGAGGATGCTTCACATTCCAGAACATCATGTACGATCATGGGAGCCCACACCATCACAAAAGAAGTGGTGGTCTGAAGATGGGCCACACCTACTTCTACTATGTAAGTCGCATCTCCCCCTTCCTTCCATCATCACTATGTCGTTCCTCGAGGATTCGTGTCTTTGGGACAGCTCATGAGTTCTTCAACCTATTCTCTCTTACACAGTTTTCTCTCTATGCCTGCCCACTCTCTTCACCTGTCTTGCATCGATAATCGTATAATTCATCATTGTCGCGTCTAACTTGCGCCGCTGTAGTACGAGGTCGATGGGTCAACCGAGACATTCGATACTACGATGCCTTATACAACTGCTTGCCCATACATGCCTGGTCAGACAGTCAATACTCTTCAAGTCCCCATCGAACGCACGGCACGCCTCCGAAGTGCATCTATGAACTCTGTCCGCCTGGAGAATTTTAGAACGATGGACCCGGCGACCAAGTTCATGAAGCCGCTGCCACCAACGCCCCTCTCGTCAGGCACAAACAAACGGCGGTCCCAGTCCGCCCCACAACCTTCACTATCGTCATCTCGCTCAGCATCTCCACGGTCATGGAGAAGATTCTTTTCACGCAAACTGGAGACTCCTGACAGTCAACGTGCTACCTCTGCCGCCTCGCAAGACACCACCTTTACCGCCTATGACAACGTCATCACGGTCTCTCCGCCACATGTCCGCGCTGGTCGTCATGTATCGTCGCTTAGCGAAGGTGCTAGGTCAAGAGACATCTCTCCAAGGTCGCTATCACGAATTTTACGGGACGACAGCCACGTTCCACGTTATCCAAGCCACAGTGCTCAATTACCACCGCTCAAGATACCAGACGACGTTATCGAGCAGGATGAGGAGGATGAGGACTTTATAGCCTCCGCAGTCTCTGAAAGCCAAACATTTGTCACTGTCCTTTCGCCGCCCCCATTTCAGCGATCCTCATCGTCCGAGACTATAAAGCGCAATGCCGAAGCGAATTCCTCCTCAACGACAGCAGCACCGGAGCTCTCCGTACCACCTCCTCTCCTTGACGGGAGCCAGCCTATCTCTGCTGTGACGAATGAGACAGGATCAGGATACGAATGGACTGTCCCGAAACCAGACCAAATCATCACAAGTCCTCATCACGAAGATGTCCCCATGAGCTTTTATGATGATGAAGATGATGACGACGAAGTCATGTCTAGCAACGAGGATGAAGCACACTTTTCTCCTGTTCCTCTGTCGCAGTCGCGCCTGACTTCCTTCAAGGGCTATAGCTTACCGCGTCACGTGGAGGAAACAAAGGACGTATTCATTCAACAGAGTTTTGCATATCGTGGCTCACCAAAGCTCATCCCCGACAGACCCAATCTACTGAATACACATGTTGAGGCAGGCCTTGATGAGTTTGTTAGTGAGCTTGGGTGGATAGCTGGCGCTATAGGTACACGAGAGTGGCATTAATATATAGACTATAAATAAAGACTTAAAAGAGGAGTTTTAAAAATAAATAAAAAGATTTATTATTAATAAAATATTTTAAATTATATTTATGTATTAAAAGAATATAATATATATAAAATAAAATATTAATAAATATTAATAGTAAAATAATATTATTAATTATTATTAAGATTTTAATAATTATTTATATTAATAAATAATATAATTTATAAGTTTTTTTAACTTTTTATTTTACTATATACTCTTAAATTAAAATAATATATATATATATATATATATATATATATTACTTATTTATTTTTAAAGAAATTTAAATATAAAAATAATTAAAGTAAATATTTATTATAATATATATATTATTATAAAAAATTAATTATAATTAAAAGATAAAAATTAAAAAAGCTTTATTAATAATAAAATAAATTTAAAATATAAGAAATATTAATAAATAATAAATTTAATTAAAACTTATTTTTATTTTTTTATTAAATATATTTATAATTTAAAAAGTAAATTTTAAATTTAATTATATATATTTATATAATAATAAATTTATTTAAATATATATTTAAGGAAATAACTTTAATAATTTAAATATATATTAATTAAAAATATTTTTACTTTTTATATTAATTTAAAAATCATATTTATAATATAAAATTAAAATAGATTTAAATTAAAATAATTATAATAAAAATAATATATATTAAAATATAAATAGAAATATATAAAAAATATATATAAAAATATTTTTTATATTATAAAAAAATAAATAAAAGGTTAATCTATATAAAACTATATAAAATTAAAAATATTTAATAAAAAAGTTATATTTTATAATAAATTTTATACTTAAAATCTAGAGTTTTATATTTATTTAATTGTTAAATATAATATTTTATAAATAATTTAGAAATTAAATAATATTATAAATAATTTACTTTTTTTAATTTATTTTTATTTAATTTATTTTAAAATTAAGTATTTAAAATTAAACTTTTATATATATTTATATATTAAAAATAATTATAATAATAATATATTTAAATTTAAGATATAAATATAATTATAATATAAAAATAGTTTTTATTCTTATTATAAATAGTTAATATAAGTAAATTATAATTATAATATATATAAAAATAAAATAATTATCTTAAATAAATAATATAATTATTATTACTTTTATTTTAATATAAAAAATATAATATAAAATATAAAATAAATAATAACCTTAATAATAAATATATATTATATAAGTAATAAAAGAGTAAATTTTAAAAAAACTTAAACTTATATTAATTTAATTTTTATTTAATTATAAATAATTTCTTAATTAAATAATTTAAGTTATATATATTTTTTATATTATTAAAAAGTTTTAAAAACCTTTTATTTAATAATATATAATAAAAAATTATATAACCTATAATTTATTTTCAAATTAATTAATTAAATTAAATTTAATACTTTATTTAAAATTAAATTTTATATTATAATTATTTTTTAATTTTAATTAATTTAAGCTATTTAATATTACTTTTAATTAAATTTAGTTTAATTTTAAAGAAATGAAATTATACTTATATTATTATATCTTATAAGTATATTATTATAATACTTTATAAATATTTTAAACTTTTTTTAAAATTTATTTAATTTATTATTTTTTATTAATTTAATAAAATTAAAGCTTTATTATATAAATCTTATACTTAAATATAAACGAACTTATTATTAACATAAATAATATAAGCTTTAAATACTAGCTTTTAATTAATTAAATATATATTATTTTAAGTTTTTATTTTTTAAGTTTAATTTTATAAAAGCTTAAAATAAGCTTTTTATAATTAATATATATATATATTAATATAATATAATTTCTTTATAAAAAAAGTTTAAGATATTTATATTTATAATATATAAAAAAATTACTTAAACTTAAGAAAAATTAAAACGCGGCCGCGAGCCCAAGTCTGGCAGGCCGGCCCTTCCGCGTGCCCGGTGGTCCCCTGAGGGGGCCGGGCGAGGGTCCAAGGGGAGCTCCAGGGTAGGCGGGGGCGGGGGGGGAGGATTGGCGGAGATCTTGGAGGA